AAATGTTACGTTGGTTATGTTGATAGAATTCAACATGGCTGATTTTAGCTTTAGCTCTTGGTCACCTATTGGATTGGAAATTCAAGATTGAAAGCAAGTTAATTGAGGGGTAAACCTTTGACCTCTTAAAGGTTTGAGGTAACCAGGAGAAACTCTACTTTGGGTAGTTATATGTTAATTGATTGTAATTGATTATTGAATGTGAATTGTGAATGTTATATGCATGAGTTTGATTTTTATGTAAAACTATATATTAGTTTCAATGAGTGTATGAAAATTTGATTAACCATAATGCTATTTTGGCTCAAAATGCAAAATGCAAAGTTAAGAGGATTTTTAACTATGAGCATGCTTATGTTTTTGAAAAATGAATGCGATGATGAGTAGAGGTCTTTGTGTGTTAATGAGAAGTGGATTTTGAAATCAATGAGAATAATGTTGAGAAGATGATGAGAATACATACTTGGGTAGTGCATGATTGTAAGCGCAATGTGGTTGTTGTAATAATGAGTATATGGAAGTAAAAAAGTTAAAACGAGTGAGTAATTGATTATGGTATGATCAGTAGCGGGAGTTTGCCTAAGGATTGGGAGTAGAGAAAATTCATATGGTATTTAGGCTACCCTTTGGTGCACTGGGGCCATAGCCTTGTCCCACTATTTATCGAGGGATTGTCCCATAGTTTGTCGAGGGACTAGAACCTAGCTATCTCCACCGGTTCAATGAGAAGAACAGCCTAGAGTATGAGACACCTCAGGGATTCAAGAATGAGGGAAGTTGTGGTCCGAGAGTGAGTCCTGTAATCTTTAACCGAGTCACACCTCACGATTGGTGAACTTGGATAGTCCAGTCACATGAACGGAGCTCTAATTAGTGTTATAGCCCACAATTTCAGTCTGAAGAAATAAGAAGGATATAAAGTTGGTTGATCATTGTCTAAGTAAATGTATGACATGTCACACGTTTTAAGTGTTGGCAAGTTGCATGAGTATGGGTCATGTCACATATATGAGAATATAGTGATAATGCAGCTAGCTATGAGAGTTAAAGATATTATTTAATGATAATCGACAAGTTATGTTATATGCCAGCATGTTTTACATATTTGATTTTTTTATGCATGTATTTAGTTTATAATTGATATATCATTGCATAGGGTAGATTTATCCTTGGTTATTGAGTGGCTAGACTCACCCCTTTCATTTACTATTTTACAGGCTAGCTCGGTGTTGAGAGGGAAGAGGCTAAAGAGGCGAGGAATTAGCATATTCCTATTATATGCCTTAGAGTAGATTTAATTGTGTAATAGTATATGAATAGCTAATTCTAGGATGCATGCCATCACACTTGCATGATTTTGTTGTTGGAAATGTCATATTTATATTTTGAGCCCTTAGTCATTGTGTATGTTGATATATATATATATATATATATGTTTATAGGGCTAATATACTAGTGCAAGTGTAAAAATAATGATTTGAACATGTTTTGAATGATTTGGGTAAGATGCAATGACAATTTAGTTCCCCTTCTATTTTTGATAAAATGAGGTTGAGGAGTGAATTTTTATTATAATGATGTTTCAGTACTTGTGTCGTGCTGTACTGGTAGTCCTAGGTCTATTGGACATGGTCTAGGTATTCGAAAAGTGTTTGGTACTTGTTGAAGGTTTTGGAGACCCATTTTGTGTAAAAATGTTAAAAAAGTAGTTAAAATGTGTTTGGGTGTCCAACTTCCTAGAGTGACTTGTTTTGGAAGTAAAACCTATGCCATTAGCTAGTTTTTGTAAAGAACTTTTTGTAGACACATAGATCACATTATTCGACGTTGGACGGAGAATCGGGGCGAGTCAAAAGTTTCCCGATTCTACTGTCAAATGACAGCAAGATTAGTAGAAATTTCATGCAACACCTCGCGGTACATGGCACCTGAGCCATGGCACGTGGCACAGAGAGTAACACACCGTGGCGCAGTGTGCACGAGCTGCAGCGTATTGCCCTGTATCACAGCACATGTTTTGTTTTTCAACCATTTTTGAATTCTTTTATTCCTCTGAGGTATCCCATACTTCCATAACTTATTTTTAATTGGATATGAAAGATTTTGATTAATATAAACTTATTTATTGAGAAAACTTAGGATCCCTTATTTTTAAATTAAACCTTGGCAATCATCCTTTCGAGTTAAGTCTTGGATTACCAGGAGTTATCTTGGTTAATTATGATTAGTAGGGTGAGAATATTTCACAAGGTAATAGGATGCGCATAAGTATATGGTCAACCTGCTTGATTCAGAGAGAGAAAGAGACATTACAATTAAGTTACAGGTTTACTTGTTTATTGTAACATATTGCATCTAACTATAAATGAATCATATGAATTAATATTAAATTTTTTGCTTTATTTGTATTGGTATGAGTTCTTTATTCACCAAATATTACTTTGTATCAAGATTGAACTTAGTTGTGTTGGGGAAGAATAATGAAGCTAGCCTCTTCTTGATAAAGAAGATGGATCATTTGAAGAAATAGATATAATTGTTGGGCAAGGATGAAAAAGAGATGTAATTGAACATGAACCTTTTTGACAAAAGCAAGTTACAAAAGAGAATTTTTATAAGATATAATTTATTGCTTTCTAATTGCAATAACTTATAGGGATGAATTGTATATCAAAAATCATCTATGAGATGTAATTGTTTGTATTAGATGGTAATTTTTGCCTTGCTTTAATGTTATAAGAGTTGGTATTAATAAATTGTAATTGCCACAAAATGCATATGAGATGTAAAAGATTGTATTAATTTATTGTTAATAAACTTATTCATTAATTTATATTTTGGATTCCTCTCCAATATTTTCTCATGCTTAATCTTTTAAGGATGTATGTTTGTTAGAATATTCATAGGTATTTTTATGAAAAATGAATTTTTTTTAAAATAACCATTTACATTTTTATAATATTCATATGCATTTTTAAAATATCAATAGGTATTTTTATAAAAATAAGTAAATTTTTAGAATAATCATTTGTATTTTTAAAATATCTTTTCGTGTTTTCATGAAAAAGGGAAGATTTTAAAAATATGCATTTTTGATATTTGAATAACAATATATGCCATCCATTTAAGTTAAGAAATTTTAGAGTATCAAAAGATGTTATTCAAATAAATAAAATTTTTTATATATAATTAAATTTAAATGCATATACTGAAAGAATCACATATATTACTAAAGATCATCGCTTCTACTATTTTAGAATGCTTTTAAGTTAAAAATTTTTTAAATATTAAAATTTATTATTCGAATAAATGAAAGTTTTATTGCATGTAATTGAAGTTTAAATGCATATAATGAAAGAATCCCTATATGTAATGGAAGATCTCTGCTTCTAGTATTTCAAAATACTTCTAAGTTTATAATTTTTACAATACTAATAGCTTTTATTCAAATAAATGAAAGTTTTTTTGCATATAATTAAAATTTAAATATATATAATAAAAGAATCATTGCATATGACTGAAGATTTTTGTATCTAGTATTCTAAAATACTTTTAAGTACAGAACTTTTAGAATATCAAAAGTTGTTATTTGAATAAATGAAAGTTTTCTTGTATATAATCAAAGTTTGAATGCATAAAGTGGAAGAATAGTCCTGATGACTGAATACCCCTACTTTTAGTATTTTAGAATTTTTTTAAGTTAAAAATTTTCAGAATATCAAAAGTTTTTATTTGGATAAATGATAGTTTTCTTGGATAAAATTGGTCTTCAAATGTATATAGTGAAAGAATAGCTTCATATTATTAAAGACCTACTTCTAGTATTCAAAATATTCATATGCATTTTTCGAATAATCATTTGCATTTCAAAATATCTATTTACATTTTTAGAATATCTATTTGTGTTTTCAGAATAATCATTTACATTTTTAAATATTTTTTTGATGTTTTTATGAAAAAAGATTTTTTTTTTTAAGAATATGCATTTGTGATATTCGAATAACAACATATGGCATCCATGTAAGTTAAGAATTTTTATAATATCAAAATATGTTATTGAAACAAATAAAAGTTTTCTTACATATAATTAAAATTCAAATGCATACAGTGGAAGAATCACTATATATGATTAAAAGCCCCTACTTTTAGTATTTAGAATATCCATATATGTTTTCAAAATAATCATTTACATTTTCATAATATCATTTGGTGTTTTCATGAATTTTTTTTTCAAATATGCATTTGTGATATTTGAATAATAACATATGGTATCTATCTAAGTTAAACAATTTTTGAATATCAAAAAATGTTATTTGAATAAATAAAAGTTTTTTTTATACATAATTAAAGTTTAAATACATATAGTAGAAGAATTGTTGTATATGATTGAAAACCCTTACTTTTAGTATTTCAAATTGATATATTAATACTGAAGAACTTTGTATTAAGTGTCAATATGAAGGATCTCGTAACACATCACATTGATAGTGAAAGCTTGTGTGAAATATTGATGGTAAGGGACCTTGTTCAATGTTTCTTTCTTTCACCAATAAAGACATATTTATTATTTAATTCTTTGCAATTATTGCTAGCTAATACTATGGAGTTTGTTTGAAATTGTTTTTATTTTATTGTTTTGAGAACTGGTGTTTTGTAGAATATGTTCTAAAAATAAAAAATAATAAAAATAAATTTTTTTTCATTTTTTTATTTTTTAGAACAATAATTAAAAAACACTTAAAAATTATTTTTTTTTTTTATTTTTCAAAATAATATTTTTTTTATTTTTTAAAATATTTTTTAAAAATACGTTATCAAATAAATTTTTTTATTCTCTTATTTTAAAAAATAAAAATTATTTTTAAAATAAATTTTTAAATATGTCCTAAATCTTTCCTAACTTATTTTCAGCAATTAATTTGATGGTGAAGTATTTTTAATAATTTTTGGTTTTTTTTTTACAAAAATTAAAAAACACCCACGCACACATCACTCGCGTTTAGGGCTCGGCAGGGTCACCTCGTCGGTCATTTCCTCCATCCGCCATACTCTGTGTCTCGGCCGCCGTGCTCCTCCCTCCATCCGCCGCTCCTCGTCTTTTCATCATCTCCACTGTCGATCTCCCTGCTTCTGTACCGTGCTCATCCTGGTCACCGTTCTCTTTCCTCAGCTGTGCTTCTTCTTCACCATGGCTGCTCGCCTCCTTCCTGCTTCTCCGCCGCCATGGGTGTCTCTATCTTCTTCCTTTGAAGTTGACCATAGCTTGAGTTCCCTCCTCCTTGCCATAGCCCCTTCTCTCCGAGTCTCTTCCTCGTGAAGTACAGACCTCTGTTCATTCTCACCACTGTGCTCCTTGTGTCCGCCATTGCCTGACTTTCGTAAAATTCAACCTGAATAGCGCTGCTGGAGGGAGAAAAAAATGAGAAACTGAGAATTTTTCAATCAAGGGCTCATATTGATTTGCCTGATGGAATGGTTTAGATTTTGTTTCAAGAAACGAAACGGTGTGTTTAAATCAGTGGAGAGAAGGACAGAGAGAAGCCGACTCCGCTTTTCACTGATAAGCTCCCAGTTTCTCGTTTCTCTGCCTTGTGATTCTGCTTGAAAAAGTCGTTGTTTCCTCATGTTGCCTAGTCCTAAAGACTTCAATTGTCATCGATGTGCAGAAAATATGGATTCCTCAAAAATTTCATTCCTTCTCCATCTACCCTTGGCATTGTTCTGCCCATTCCCTATGGTAAGCGTTTCGTCAAAGGTATGCATTCCCTTCATCAGCACAGACACAACAGACCCTTTAATCCATTTGCCAGGAAAAATTTCAACCCCATGAAACTAGTTAAGAAGGACGTTACTGGTGTGAGAGTGTATACAAGGGATATCATTTGGAAAATACACAGAATTCTTAAGTATTCGACTTGGGATTCTGCTCGAGAAGAGCTCGAAAAGCTTCCCATAAGATGGGATTCTTTCGCAGTCAATCAAGTCCTGAAAACCCACCCACCTATGGAGAAAGCTTGGTTGTTTTTCAATTGGGCTTCTCGGCTAAGAGGGTTCAAGCATGACCAGTATACTTATACAACCATGTTGGATATTTTCGGAGAAGCTGGGAGAATTTCATCCATGAAATATATTTTTCAGCAGATGCAAGAGAAGGGGATAAAGATTGATTCTGTTACTTACACTTCGCTTATGCATTGGCTGTCGAACTCAGGAAATATCGACGAGGCAATAAAAGTTTGGGAAGAAATGAACTCTCAGAGGCGTAGCCCTACTGTTGTTTCTTATACTGCATACATGAAGATTCTCTTCAATCATGACAGAGTAAAGGAGGCTTCTGATGTCTTCAAGGAGATGCTTCAGTCTGAATGTAGTCCAAATTGTTTCACTTACACAATCTTGATGGAGCATCTCATTAATTCTGGTTAGTGTGCCTGCTGCCTTCTAGCTTTTTGTTATATGATCTGCATGAGTGGGCATTCAGTGTTATTCCCCGCTAATTAGAAATTTTGATTAGTTTGGTAGAGTCAGGTGTATCTTTCTTGGAGTTAAGGTTTCAAATAATTGGCATGGGTTGATTGCCGTTAAGGTTTGCTATAGGTTCTTATTGGCTGCCTTAACCTTTGGTTACCATTATTTTCATCCTCGAATGAACTTGAATCACATCCGTACTGGCTATGAATCAAGATGTTTTCCTTTAGAATTTGATTAGGAGAGTAGTTTGGTTGTAGAAAAAGCTGAATCAGTGACTGAAAAACTTATAATATATTTACTATGCTAGGTCATTTACAATGTTTGGAGTTTAATAGTCCAACAGATCTTGGTTGCTTCTATGTTGCCATTTTTTGCGCGAAGAAACTTGGAGACCTCTAATTCCTGAGACTTATTGGCTATTCAGTTCCCCCCATCTTTCGTTAACTGTGATGGTTGTAGTGAGGACAATTATTTTTATTTTTCTGTGTTTCAGAAAAATGTGAAGAAGCCCTTGAGATTTTTGAGCAGATGCAAGAGGCAGGGGTGCAACCTGATAAAGCTGCATGCAATATATTGATTGAGAAGTGTTCTAAAGTTGGTGGGACTGCAGCCATAAACCGAATTCTTCAGTATATGAAGGAAAACTGTCTTGTTCTTCGTCACCCTGTTTTTATGGGAGCATTAGAGGCTTTGAAACTTGCTGGTGAGAGTGACGCCCTTCTCAGGCAAGTTCATCCTCACTTTTTTGTTGACTATAACTCCATAAAGGAAGCAAATGACTGCACAAAAGTTGCTGTAGATGCTTCTTTTGATATCGATGAAAGGCTTTTGTTTGATTTATTGGGAAAGGGAAATATGATTGCTGTTGACCATTTACTTTTAGGGACAACAGATAAGAAAATACTGTTAAATCACGAGGTTTTATCAACTATCGTTGATGTTAATTGTAGTCAGTGCAGGCCTGATGGGGCTTTATTGGCTTTTGAATACGGTGTGAAAATGGGTATAAGTATGGAAAGAACTAAATATCTTGCCTTGATAGGCTTGATGATCAGATCGAATCTGTTTTCGAGGATCCTGGAAGTTGTGGAGGAAATGTCTAAAGCTGGGCATTCTCTTGGAATCTATTTAGCTTCTCTTATAATTTATAGGCTTGGTCGTGCTAGGCAGCCCACATTTGCTGCAAAGATCTTCAGCATATTACCTGATAACCATAAGTGTACTGCCACCTACACTGCCTTAATTAGTGCTTACTTCTCTGCTGGAAGAGTTAATAAGGCTCTTGGGATCTATAGGATCATGCGTGAAGAAGGAGCTTCTCCCACGTTAGGCACTTATAATGTGCTACTTGCAGGTTTGGAAAGAAAGGGTAGATCTTCTGAAGCAGATTTCTTTAGGAAGGAAAGGAAGAGCCTCCTTACTAAATGGAATTCTCAAGGAAGTGTTTGTTTAAAGGAAAAGATATGTGACCTTTTGTTTGCTGGGGATGTATGTTGATACACCAAAGGTTCTCAATGTGATGACCAGCTGAGAGATATAGCTGCTGGCTAGTGGAAATATGCCAGTCTGGCTGCATGGCAGATGCTGCTCTCCTTTCAAGGAAAATGAATAGTTTGATCTATCGAATTATTTTATAGATGACATCAAGGCATAATTGTCATATGTATGTCTCTGCAACATTTAGCAGCAAGAGCCTGGAAATTGGAACAGAAATGATGAACTTGAGCATTGTCTTCCAGAAATCAACTATTTTTTGCATAAATCAATGAGAATTATGGTCTGTGGGACATGCTCATAGCTTTGATGACCCTTTCAAAGGCAAGATGTGGTGTGGCAGCTGTATGCATCCTGAAGAATGCCCCAAATTGATATTTAAAACAGGTGATAAATTCTGATGCATTTTGTTTTTGGGGCTTCTTCAATGTAAGAATCATCTTCAACAGAAGCTATTATTTTGTTTTTTGGGTCTTGTACTCTTATTTAATTTAACAAAAAAAAGTTTTGCAGTTCTGCAGATACTTCAAAGCAATTATTACCTTTTGCCGGCAAAATGATAATCATAAGGCGGAGAAGCTGCATGAAATGACTACTGGTTGCTGGAGACCTTGTAAAATGATACATAAAGGTGAGATACTTCAGTTCCCATTTAAGTAGCGCTCCTAAATGCAGAAATTGCAAGAAAGGCAAGGATATTCTTGTTTCTGCTGGGTTGAGGATGTGTTACGCAATGGCCTCATTATTGCTGAAGAATTTATTTTCACTTCATTTCTTTGCCATTTTCTAGTGTTGATATAACCCAAAAGGATTTTAAAAGCATGATCCAAAAAAAAAAAAAGGATTTTGAAGCATTAATTAAAAAAAGGAAAAATGACATAAAATTCCTTTGAATTATATAAATGATATTTTAACCTCTGAAAATGTTATAATTCTCCTGAAGTCTTTAAAGGCTTTTTTATCATTAAATAACTAATATAAATGATCAAATTGTCCTTAATTTAAATGTTAATTACTATTTACAAGTTTTGTTTTAAAATTCACAAATTTTCTTCTTAAAATCATAAGAATTCAATAACATTTGCAAGTTCACATTCGATATTCTTCAATTGTTGTAAATATTAATTGTCATTTATAAGCTTTGTTTTAAGGTTCACAATTTTTTTTTTAAATTGTAAGAATTTATCAGCAATTTGCAAGTTTGAATTAAGGGTAATGTGATTATTTATATTAATTTTTTAATGATAAAAGTTTTTTGAAACTTTAGGAAAATTATATTATTTTTAAGAATTAAAATGTTATTTACATAATTTAAAGGGATTTTATTATATATATATATATATATTTTAAAAAAAGGTCTTATTGAGTTAGATCAGATTGATTGGTTCTCAAGAACTAGTGAAATTTGTCCCGAACTGGTTGCGAGCTCCCCACGCGCGCGCACCAAAGTTGTACGGCAAAGGAAAAAATGAATGTGTTTTTTGGGGGGGGGGGGGGGGGATCAATGGATCATGGATGGATGGATGGATTTTGACCAATTCAATCCTCAGTCCAATGGTAGAGTTAAATTTTCTATTATGTTTCTCTGGCAATGAAAAAAAGGGAATGAAAAGGAAGAGAAAGGAAGGCACCATGGTTAAATGCGTGGTCATAAAATTAAAAATCAACTTTGAATTAATACGCTTTGTATCAATATCTTTATTATTTCAATGATCTATTCAACTTTAAAAACTCCACATAAATGCAATATTTACGTTTTTTGAAAGTTTTTTTTTTTCGGGCCAAGAATTTCTATTCAGTTGAAAGGCAGTGAAAGATTGGTTTTAATGAAAGGCTTTTTCTTCCCTTACGTTATTCACGTCCGAACATGCGGTCAGTTACATTTTATTTTTATTGATAGATAATCAAATGTAGAGCGAGGAATATGGATCTTGTTTGGTGAGTTGACCTATTTATTCAGGAAAAAAAAGTTAATTGAGTTGTAAAATTTTCAAAATTAATTTCATTTCTCATTAATCTTGTATATTTTCACCAAAACGAGATTCAAATATTATAAATAATGAAGGAGACGAAGGAAATCCCTTAGATTGTGAAATTATTTTTTCAGTATGACAAATTTTTAAAGTTTTCATTCTGATTTTTTCTTGTCAATTTGTTATTAAAAAAAATGGGGGCTAGCTCACATAAGACATAACTACCTTTAGTGGGCTGAATAAAGAAGTACTAGCCGATGTTGGGACATTTGGGCTTTTGTCTGCTTACATGTCTATCTGCAATGAAACCTGAGATGTTTTTTAAAGAGAAGTATTTTCATGTTGGACTTGAACGTGCATTAATGAAAGCACGCTAATTGTACTAATTCAATTTTTGGCTGGTATAGAAGTGTTTTTTTTTTCAATAATCGGTAAAAAATATTTTAAAAAAAGAAATGATAAATGCATCTTTCTTTTTTTAAGTACATTTTTTATTTCTTTTCTAAAAAAACTTTTTTTTTGTATACAAATATACATTAACTATCATCCTTCATAATACTCGTGCCTCCTACTCTATTTGTTCAATGAGGGTTGTTCATTTGGTAAAACTAATGTGGAACTGAATATCTATTAGTTACAAGTTTATAGAAAAATTATTATCTAAAAGACAGGTGGAGGATTTGTGTGGATTTTAAATGTAAGTTCTCAATCTCTATTTTCTCAAGCTATTCCCACAGTTAGATCCTTGTATGATGTATAAGTAATATTAATAATATTTTGATGCAAAAATTAAATGAGGGGTATCTTAGAAAACTAATGCACATTTTTTACAATTTGTAAATTTCTTTAATAGATGCCAATTAGTTAACTAGCTTCCTATTGAAATAATATATGTGACGATTTAATGGGCATTCTCTTGCCATATCAAGAATCAGTAGTTGACTAATTTGGTAAAAGAAATTAGAGGGCCAACTCTACGAGATTAGTTGGTTACATATGTTTATATCCTTAAAAAAAAAAAAAAATAAACATGCTGATATTTTTTGGGTGTTGTCGCTCTTGTCGTCGCCAATATTGTTTTGTTTTATTGTTGTTAGTTTTTCCGTATTGTTTTTACTTTGATGGGTCTTAGAGGATAGCTCAACTATTCTTCTTGAACTTTTTGTTTATTGCAATCATTTCCGTTTATTTAATAAAATTTGTCTTTTTATAGATATGCTGATAAGCTTGCTTGAAAAAAACATATAATATGAACATGGCCTTTTATTGCATCACATATTTTATGAAATAAATTCCATAAAATATTTCTCAGTCTAAACAATATACATGACATGTGATTAAAGTAGTTGAATACATTTTTTTCCTTTTATTTTTTTCTTTTTCTTGTTCTTTTGAACTTAGGGGCTTTGACTGAATTTATCAAGGTAAGCAACTCTCAACTCTCAAAACCCTTACCATCAATCCATCTTGAATTTCACACATTTTAATTAATTAAAATTGTATATTTCTTCTTAATAATAACGTATTTTTAACTTATTCTTGAATTACTTCTTGCATTTTAGCACCTGAAATTTTTAGGGTTTGTTTTTTCTTGTAAGAATCATTTGTTTCCTATTACAACCAACGCTGTGTTTAATGGCAATTGAAATTGTATTTCACCCCTAAAAGATATAATATAAATAATTTTTTATTATATTCTTCTTTAACTTTGTTAACTTTTATAATAAACTAAACCTTGTTGATTATAATTTTTTAATGTTGGTACTAAATGCAGAGATAATAAATAATATAATACCTAATAATTGTATCACCTTAATATAGGGAGGAATCTATGGAGGGCAAGGAGGGGGCTTTCCCATTTCAATGACTTGTTGGATAAAATTAGTTTTTATTTTTAAAAAATTTATAATAGGGACTTTTATATAGATAGCACATATTATAAAACCAAGTAAAAGAAATAGCTCATTGTTTCTTAAATTTTAAAAATGACTTTTTTAATATTTAGATTATAATTAATTTACAAAACTGTCCTTTTTAATATTTGTTTTTTTTTCAAATACTAGGAGATTTAAAATGCAAGAATTTTCTAGAACAAGAGAGACAAATGTGAGAGAGAAGACGAAACTTGACACAAAAGAGACAAACGCGAGATAGCAGAGTGGTGTAAGTGAGCCACAATTATGACAGCGAGATATAAATGTGAGGTGAGATACATTGATGGTACTCGATGGAATGGAGTACACCGGTAGGGAAACAGAGTAATAGATTCATGATTTTTTATTTTATTAATTCAAGTATTTGATTCTCTGTGATAAGTTAAGAGTCTGAAATTTTTTGTGGACTATGTTTGATCTGTTTTGAGCAAATGATTATATATTTTTCGTATTATTGATTTACGATAATATATCATTAATATACGACTGTATATCAATTATAAACAAGTTTATGTCGATTATCTGGTTATGTTGATTTACGATAGTATATCAGTGATATACTATTATATATCACTAATATATAAGTTATATCAGCAAAAATTTATCAATTTGTTTATCATTGATGTATAGTCGTATATTAATAACGTAGTATTGTACATCAGTAATGGAGTTTTGCCTTCAATATCTAATGTCCTCTTTGTAATATCTAGAAAAAATAGAGAAAAAGAGAGAGGAAAAGCTTTGCGATGAAGACGGTGATTTAGGTAAATCAGATCAAAAATTCTAATGAAAAAAAGTACTGTAAGAGAGATGAATACAATGATTTAGGAAAATCAAATCAAAAAATCTAATGAAGAAAATATTTAAAGATGATAAATTAGAAAGGGAGCATGCACAATATGATTTTTTATGATAAAAATAAAAGATCCAATCAATTAAAAATTAGTTAAATTAAATATATTTTATTTTAATGATAAATTTACTTTAAGGATAAAAAAATAGAAATACATCTAATTGACTTTATGAATGAGCTATATTTTAAAATATTAAAAATAATTTACAAAAGTTATATTTTTTGAGGCTATTGAGTTAATTTTTTCTTTATAAAATGAATTTTGGCTTCATCACCCTTTGTTTTTGTTTTTGGTTTTTTTTTTTTTGCAGTTTGGCCCTCCATTTATCAACTTTTAGATTTGTTACTTCCTTAATATGATGTAATAATTAAAATAATAACATATGTAATGAAGAAACAATGAGAAGTTAGATGATATGATTTATAAATAAAAGTAGTTTTAAGTGGCAAAATTTGAAAGAATTAACACTGAGCAATAAAAAAAGGTGACAAGCATTGAAATTTAAACTGTCCAGATTTAATTTGAATAATTTAATTTTTTTATATATTTTAATACAGAATTCAAAATAAAAATTATTGACTAAAAATTATAAATGTAAAACATCAAATCTCGATCGTTCGTCCAAAATTCATTGCGGTCATGACCACCGAAACCGAAGTTTATGGGAATTATTTCGTTTGCTTACAGAAATTTTAATTTTTCTTTTTCCTATCTCCCTCCCGCTTTCTCATAATATAACTTTTTGATATTTGGTGTCATTAATTAATCTGAATGTTATCATTGTTGAGTTAGGAAAGAAAGAGTAACTCATGGTATGATGTTGGGATACTGCAACTTTTAGTAATTTAAATTTATTTCAATTATCAATTTAAGTTCAATTTTGATTAATTTAGTTTCTTAAATTTACTTCAATTATTAATTTAATTCTCATTGTTAAAAAATAAAAAATTAAATTTTATTAATATGAATAACATAATATTGATGGTCATAGCAATGCATATTTTAATGAAAAAAGTGTAATTAATTAGTTAAGAAAAAAAACTTTAAAATTTTTAAAAAACAAGAGAATAAAACACAGTGTGGAGGATTATATTGATAAAAATTAAACTAATTTGAGAGTTGATTTATTTTTATTTAATTACATATACATGCTAAGTCATTAATATATTTTATACATTAGATTATTTTGAGAGTCAATTTATATTTTAAAATTTAAAAACTCACATGATAATTTTAAAAAATATAAAAAACCACATCGATAAAAATTAAATTTGAGGGACCAAATTGATAATTGAAATCAAAAATAAATTTAAGAAAATGAAAATTTTATAATTTTTTTACCTCTACAAGGTTTATATTCCTAATAAATTTGGAAATTATTTGTGGCTAATGTGACGGAATAGGGCGGGCTCCAAAGCAAAACATGAGTATTTTCTTGGGAACACTAACAGGCCAAGTGTGTGTTTCACTAAACCAGTTTGCAAAACTCAATCTATGTTTACAAAACTTTAGCTTCCTCAGTTATTATCTATGCTCCTGAAAGTTATAAATCCAAAATATTCTCGTAATATTGAGAAGACCAAATTACAACTTTTTTAAGAATTCATGCGCATCAATAATAATTATAAAATACACTACTCCCCCCATTCAATTTGTGTTATAAGACAATTTTCTTGAGTATTATACCTTAGAGAAAAAAAGGCATTTTGAATATTTTAATATGTACTAGTTAATAAATTTTTTTTGCTGATAGATACATTCCAATAGGAGTGTAATTAATAAGGTTTTTTAATTAACACACATTAATAAATAAGAATAAATATGAAAATAATATGTAATTTTAATTATTATCAACTAACTTAGGGAGTGTAAATTTGTTAAAAATTTCATATAAGCAAGGTTGTTAAACTCATGAGTTTAATTAAATTCATGATAGAAATATAAACTCGTATTGTAAACTCAGATTGTAAACTCGTAAAAGTTTACCTTTATTAACAAATAGCCATTAAAATATGGCTGTAACTTAATTTAAATATATTAAAAATATAAATTATTGAAATTAAATTCATCTACATTGATAAATTATCATATACAAGACATAAACATTTTAAAATAAGAAAACTTATTTTTGGTATTTTTGTTTTCTTTTTTATTAATATTATTTTTTGTATTTTAATTTTTTTCTTTGAATTAGGTTCTATAACTTTTATGAACTGAATTCTTCTAATATACTTAATTGGCTCAATTCAAAAAAAAATTGAAAAGTTTAACAAATTTAACTAAGCTTATATTTAATTCAAGTTTATGAATTAGTTGACATGATTTTATAGGTTAAAAATATAAAAACGATAAATTTCAAAGTAAACTCGTGCTTTTGACCGAGTTTGTATTTAGTTCGAATTTATAAATAAGTTAATACGATTTTGTAAATTAAAAACGTAAAAACATTAAACTCGTTGAGTCAATTCAAGAGTTTGACAACTATATTTATAAGTAATACTGAATTTAGAAAGTAATAATAATTTTGAGAATTTAAGATAAATTTAACTTTAAAAATTTCTTTTTATAATTAGATTTTAGAGTACTTTGTCATTTTCCTTGAAAAATATGAGCACTGTTATCCAAGCAATGTGGTAGTTATTTATGTTGCTGCATTAAGCATAGCCAAGAAATTCAACCCTAAGAAACGTAGCACCTAAGACCCAAGTGCCGTACTAGTCCATATAATGTTTTTTCCTTTCCTTTTTTTTTACAAATTTTTTGAACAATTAAGATTAAATTTTAACAATTTATTGATTTTAAAATACTATTTTAATAAAATATTAAAATGGAATTGTATCAATTTAATCAGAATAATTAAACTAATAATGGGGAGGAGTTGACTCGGTGGCATGCCTACTGAAGAGGTATCAATACAAAATTGAATGTTTTATTTGACTTGCAAGTTCCCCTTCCATTCAAATAATCAAGGTAATAAATTCAAGCCATGTGTGACTCAACCATTATACTTAAAAACATTCGAATCTACAAGGTTATTTAGTATTGAAAAACATGTTAACTCGACCGATTGAACTAATAAATCATTAAATTAATTGAAATGCTTTGTTCATTCTAATTATGATTTGACTGTAATTTAACTATTAATTTTTGATTTATTAATCTAGTACCTTGATCAGTTTGATTTTTAGTATATGAAAGGAAAATTAGGTTAAAACTTAATTAAAAATGATAAGAGGAAAAGGTCAAATTTTCAACCCATAAACCATACGTTTTTTTTAAAAAATTAATTACTGAATAATGGTAGTTTGCAATGGAAGGAGATAGAGGATCTGTTTAGTTTCTATTCTCATTTTTTTATTTTTAAAAACTTTTTTGTAACATAATTTTTAAAAAATAAAATAAAAATTTGTTTGGTTATGTTAATTTAAAAAAGATTTTATAATTAAAAAATGAATTGATAATGACATTTACAGTTTATTAATGATGATGATTAATAATAGAAATTGATCGAAATAATTATAATTTTTAATAATTAAATATAGTGTATTTTAAAAACAAGAAAAGTAAAACCAAAACAACTTAAAGTTGGTTTTATTTTTTGAAAAAAATAAAAAATGAAAAAAGTTTTAAAAATAATTAAATGAAAAATACCTATTTAAATAAATTTTTAAAATTTTTTATTTTAAAAAACAAAAAACAACTTTTAAAAACAGAAAACAAACAGGCCCAGATTCTTTAGATAAGACCAGCTACTAGCATCAGATTTTACATTGCCACTAACAAGCAACGACAACTCAATATTCCCCAAAAAAAAAAAAAGAGAAAGAAGAGAATAAACGAGAAAAATAAAATAAAAGAAGCAAATGGGATTATCTCTCTTCTAGCAAGCTACCAATCCGATTTGCTTTTTCCTATTTGAATGGTCTTCACTGTGCCTGAAAAATTCTACTACTGCTATGCCTGAATTTCCAGTCAAATCATAAGCATCACAAAATACAATCTCTAAATTAATGTTTGAATCCATCACGTAATAATGATCATATGCCCAGCAAGATGTAGTAAACCAACGTTATTGGCAATGCCACCAACATCCCAAAAATCACTCTGCATCAATTAAAAAAAAAAATCCCAAGCTCACTGGTTAGCAGCATTCCAATACAAACTCAACGGTTCAAGCAAAATAATAATTATAATTATAATTGGCAAAATTAATTAAATTAATTTTTTTAAAAAAAATGCCCAAAGACTCACGCTGTGCTGAGAATATCAGGATGGACGTTGTATTCCTTGGCGAAGACGAAGGGCACAATTCCTTGTGGTAGAGCTGCCTGTTTTCCCCCACAAATTAATTAAAATTTGAAATTATAACTTATTTTTACAGTAATGAAATGTGCTTGCATTATTATGCCGATACTGAAAATTTTAGTCATCTTTAAATCAATAAGACATTAGTTTAAGTGTTAAGAATCATTAATCAAAACCATAGTCAAACAGTATATTTTATATATTGCACTGGCGGTGTTGTAAATATGTAATTCGAATCCAATCAGACATAGATTTTGTGCTTAGCATGGTCCAAAACAAGTGATTAAGTATGTTGTCAAAGATAAGGAATTTATGAAACAAGGAACAAACAGAACGGGGCATGAAGGAAGGATAAGATAAAATACTTTAAAGCAGAGCGTCTAGCATTAATTAATTAATCAAGAAGTAAAAAGTGATCACTAGATGTAACTTAGCGGCGAGCATTGATTGAGAGGATGAAGAAAGAGAGACCTGAACAATGCAAACGCGTAAGAGAAGGCCTCTGATGCCAACGAGAATGGAGGCAACTGCCATGACAGCTGGACCTACAAGGAATCTCACCGCCATCGCCAAAACTGCTCTTTTATTCCCACATGCTATTATCCTCGGTTGTAATGCCATGAACAATCCTGTTTCATTTTCATTCTCAATCAATTACTATCGTCATTCATTAATATCTCTCTCTCTCTCTCTGTCAGAGTCTCTCTCTCTCTCTCCCTTTTTGTTTTTTGAAAGGACATAATGATCAAAATCAGAGTCGCCATATTTTTGAAAGAGATTTCGTGAGGCAATGAGGATGTTCATGTATATACTGACCCAGACTGAACATGGCCATGCCGAGTCCTGCATCTGACAGTATGGATATAGACTTGTCTACAATCGCAGGCATTTCAATATTCCACCTGTATGAGTCATCCCCGCCAACGAAAAATCAATCAGAATTGAAAATCCCATCAACAAGAAACGTAATCAAATCAAATCAAGTTAAATTAGTAGAAACTGCGTTTACTTGAATGAAACAACGGCCCAAACCATGCCGATTAGGCTAGAGTACGTGTTGGGGTTTCTTGTAAGTTTTCTCGAAACCATAGTCAGTATAAGCCTTGTCATCACACATGTCGGTGGCATTGTTCTTGGCTTTTTCTCTCCAACATTCTCACTGTTCTCACTATTCATGACACACTCTGCCATTCCTCTGTTTCCAAAGCTGAAATCGTCCTTTGCTTGGTGCTCCTCTTGGTTGTCTCCGTGACCCTCCACTGAGATCATCAAACAATAAAGAAATTATTAAGTCATTAAGAAATAAATAAAGGAAGAGAAAAAGAACCAACCTTTTCCTGGAGAAAAGGTCAACCTGAGCTCCTTCTGATCATGACCTCCAACAAAAGCATCAGAAACAGGGGAAGCATTTGAACTCCAAACAAACATGTGAAGGTCCTTGTCTCTTTCATTAACATTTTGTCTCTTAGCATTATTACCTCCAACGTTTCTGGAGCCAGTAGGAGAAAACATTCCAAGGTTGGGTGCAGGGTAATTCCCTGTTCCACCATGATGAAACCTCGCAGTCTTCCCGTCTTCCTCGTAAGTGGATGGTCTCGGTGTGGGTCCTCTTGAGACTGGAAAGCCATAGACATCAGAAACTCCGAAGTTGGAATTCCTGCCACCACCCATCACGGAATAGAAATCCGTGTAATTGAAACTCGATCCTCTTGGAGTTGGGTTTCGAGATGATTGCAAAGAGTAAATCTCAGCGTTGGTGAGATTCGAAGGACGTGGGGTTGTGGAATTAAAACCCTGAGACTTTCTGGGGAAAGTGTCTGATCTTGAAGCACTGGATTTTCTCACAGTAACATGAAGCTCCCCGTCTATGACTTCAGCTTCGGTTTCCAATGGCTGCCTCCCATTCAACGACACTACATCAGAATCCACATGAATGGACACGATTGAGCCAGCAGTGTCTGGATATTGCTGAGAGATGAGTATTCTTGCCGCCCTGAACTCCATCAAGAACAGTATCAAACCGTACCAACTAAGGCACTGAAGGACCACAACTTGTACCATTAAACTCCACGAAAAGTCTCCGTACATGGCTTTAAGCAGAGGAATACCCATGACGAGAGTGTTTGGAAGGGTGGCAACTGAGAACATAGTGATTGCCCAATCCAAGGAACCCCTTTTGCTGAAGTTGGCCCACAGAGCGAGAACGACAAGAACGATGATCTTTTGAATGGCATCAGCAGCCATGAACGTAAAGTTCATTGCAAAAGGATTGTTTGAAGAGATGAAGTGGAAAGAAAGCAGAGGAACTGCGAAGACAGAAACGAATCTGTTGATGCCAGCGCACTGGTCTGGGGAGAAGACCTTCCACCATTTGACAGAGCCATATGCTAGAATCATGGTCACGTACAGCGGCACCATAGCGGTCATAACTTTGTAGAAGTCTAATAATGTGATCATTTTTGCTCGCTTCTTGAGTAAACCAGACCGGCAAGTCCTCCCTACAATTATAAGTCACAGAAGTAAAAACAGAACGACGAACGAAAGGGAATAACAGAGGAAGGTTGAGGAAGAAAAAGAAGGTTCAAGTGGCGGCAAGTGATGACGATGACGATGAGAGAAGCATGTGTTGAAGGACTTGTGTTGCGTGGGGCAGTGGGTAATACGCTGAAATGAAAGACAAGTGCAAAATATATATTGAAGCTTTCAAAGTAGCGAGGAAGCTTGCACTTGCAGTCCCCAAAACGCACAGCGCATGGAACCGAGAGGCTTGTTTGCTTTTCTGTTTTTCGTTTTTAATCTCAGGGGATTCTTTTTTTTCCCCCCTTTCTTGTTCTGAGATGGTGGTTTGATTTGGAGGTGATAATGGAATATTTGATAGATAAACTTGGAAATTTGGATGGCTCAACCTTCTACGGATTTTAGTAATTTAATTCATGTTTTAAAAAATGACAATTAGGTTCTAAAAAATTGAATCAACGATAGTTAAATTCTAACAAAATTTTCTATAAAGTGAATTGAAAATATCAAATTAAATAATTGTGAATTCAGACATTTCAATTATAAATAAAACATTTAAGTTTTAAATATAATTTTTAAATTGTAATTAGGATTATTATTTGTAATTATCCAAACTAATATTTATAACTCTTTTTAAATTTTTTTCAGAATTTAAATGTTATTAATTTACCTTATGTCTACAAGAACTAGCACTAGAGAGAATGGTAATTAAAAAAAAAGCATATGCTTATTGCCACATTTCCTATGTTTTTCTCATTGGATTGGTTGATGCATATAAAATGTTAGTTATAATATTAATTATAGTTAATAATTTGTTAAGAGTGTGGAAAAGGTCAAAAGGAGGAGAACAAATGAAAATCCAACTAGAATGGGGAAAAACCCATTGTTGTGACTTGAGAGTCATAAAGAATGAAGATGGGGATTATAGTATTTTAACATCATGTGCCCATTACATACCAATTTGGTAAGGTTGCTCTAAGTTATTTCAGATACTCCATTCCTCACTGTCTCCTTCAATCACTTACCAATTTTTCACAAAGGTTTGTAATATATATATATATATATATATGTATGTATGTATGTGTATGTATGTATGTATGTATGTATGTATTCTATATATGTGTGTAATGAGAAAATTTAAAAGAAAAAATTACTTACGGACCGTGGGTTAGAAACTTAACCACCAATGCGTTCTCTGAATTTGCTTTATTACTGGTAGGTTTCACGAGACTTGAGTGTAATTTTGGGTTTAGTTGAAAAAGATGTTCTTCAACTTGACGATAAACTCACAGTTTATACGATGCAATTTCAGCTCAGAAGCACTTGATGTGAGTAATTTCAGCTCTCAAACTTTCAATTCCATTGAAGCATACTTGAATTTGAGCCACACGTTTGAAGATCAGTTAGAGCATGACAAAGAAGTAGGCAACGATCAAGTTGTAGCCTTTTTTTACAGTCCTCTTTGATTATTATATATATAGATTCGATATATCTGAATTGGTAATCCTTATTCTTCTTATTTTTAGTAAATTTATAGCTCATAGTAGGCTATAACCTCGCGTCGTTGCCTACTTCACACTTGAAGACCGATTATTTTGAGCCTCCACATCAAAATAAATTTATCATTTAAAATATTTTTTAATAAACCGTCAAACTCATATTTTCATGGAGTATGGAACCAGTCTATAATTTGCCAATAAAAAGTATTTGTTGGTATATTCTTTCAGTAAAATACAAGTGTTAATACGCTTTTACCTACAAAAATATTCAGCTCTTAACTTTAAAGGCTGGGGATGAAAATAAGTTTGAGTCTTATACGCAATTGATTGCAAGGATTAATGTATCTGATCAATCAATAGATGTGTATTTTGTTTAATTATTAATTCATATCAGTATGTTTGTTGCTTATATTTGTACCACTACTCTAGATATATATATATATATATATATCAAGTAGCATATAAATATCCATACAACTCTAGCGGCGTTATCCCAAGAGTTAGGTACAGTATATCAGAGTATTCTATTATATTTATTGATATTTATTTTTGTAAAAATTTATATTTATTCAAATAATTATTCTGTCAAGGCAAGCCAAGGGCAAAGGCAAGTGTATTAGGAGCTGTAAACAATATTAACAGAAAAATGAGACATCAATTCAAAATAAACAAATTAAATAAATTAGAGTAATTACAAGACCAAATATCAACTATTAATTAAAGCCTGTCTTTTTAAAATTTCTGTTCTTACTTATATAAATTTATATGTACGTACTTTATTAGTTCCGTAATTTCAATGAAATGATGATTGTTGTTTTCTTGTTGGGATCATTAAAATATTTTACAATGTTAACACAGTTTAAGTTTCGAAAATACTTTAAATACCTTTTAAATTCAATTTCTTGTCTCTGTTAGTAATTTATATATCTTGAGACTTTTTTTTTAACAAAAAAAAAGGGTCATGGAAAAACAGGAAACCACTTAATCAGATCTTGTCTAAACTTAAATTTCTACACGCCAATATTGGCGGATCATGAAAAATCTTGGTGTTAGAAGTATCATGAAACGGCTGATAAGCATAACAGTTGACATACTTGTTTGTTTCCTTGCAACCGTGGTCAAATGTGAGATCCTTAATTATTTTGAAACTTTCAATTCAACTCACAATATGTTTGGGTGAGTTAAGTGCAAATTAATTAATGCGTTGGAAGCATCCAGGATTATTATTCTTAAACCCAAAGGTTTTAGGTTTAGGGTTTGGTGAAGAACTTTTGGTTCGTCGCTTTAACCAAAAGGATCGGAGATCCTCCTTTTCGTGTAAAGAAAATGAAAAACAACATGAAAAGCTAAAGGAAGATGCGAGTCACATGAATCAATAAAGCTGTAATGTCGAACCCTGAATTAGCATTAACACTCTCAATGTTAAAATTTCGAATCATCTGTGTGTGTGTGTGTGTGTGTCTGCAAGACTGCAAAATGGTACTGAAGTTTTAAGAACTGTTGCAGAAACTGAGAATGGAAGGTGGGAAGCTTTTAATGAGTGAAGGTTTTGAAGATATATATGAAGCAAAGAAAGCATTAGAAGAATGATAATGTGTGTGTACGAATTGAAAAGGCAATAAAAGAGAATATCGGGATAAATTAATTCTTGACTCTGAAGAAGCTGCACAAACACATATATAATGCTTAGCTTCATCATGAAGTTGCTCTCCCATTCAGTCTCTCCTATCGTGAAGCATCATCGTCGCAGGACTCCCCTACTCGCCATCCTTCTCTCTCCCTCTCTCTCTCTCTCTCTCTCTATCATACATACAATATTGAGTTTAATTAATTATATGTAAGCTTTTAAATAATTTGAATAATAAACCCCGTGTATTCATATAGAATTTGAAACATGTACTCACTTCTATCCCATATACTAATGACGTTGCAGAATAAATTGGAAGTTCTACATATGAGTTATTTTGTTTTGTATAAAGAGGTAGAGCATTGATTAGCTTTTTTTCCAAAAGAAGAACACCTTTGCTTATAAGATCTAGAGAGTAAAGACTTGTTTTTTTATTAAGAGAAAAACTTATATATTTAACCTTATATATTCAAGAGACATGTGAATTTTCTTATAAATTATTTATTTTATAATAAATTCTTATTATCAATTTTATTAATATGTTAAGACTCACTTGTTATGAGTTGATTAGATATAAGTATATATTAAATATATAAGGTTAAGTATATAAATTTTATCTTTTTGTTAATTAATCATGCTTTTAAAAACAAGGATGAATATATAAAGTTATTTTATTTTTAGATCATTTTAAAGTCTTAATTACTTTTCTTTGATTCGATGAGATTGTTAGAAATGTTTTATATTTAGAACCAAACCACAAGTATTTAGTTACTTAAAGTTTGAAATCTTTCTTTGTCCATAATATACGATGAGGTTGTTACAAGTGTCCGATATTTAAAGCAGAGTATTTAATTATTAAAGTGTCAATCTTCTTTTATCCCTACACACCCCCCCCCCCAATTAAAGTTAATGCGAGAGTGTTTGAGTGGTGAGGGTTTTCGTTATTTAAAAAAATAGTTGGAGGCTTGAATTACAATAACTCTTATGTATGTAGCAATTTAATTAAGAAAGGTCTACCATTTTCTTCCAGTCTTCCCATGTCTTGAGTGTAAGGTCTTCTTTATTCATTCATAATTAACTCCAAAATTAAGGTAATCATAGAGTTAATGCAATTGGATTATCAAGTTTGCAAAATTTCATAAATGGAATCTCAAGTTTTCAAACTTGTAAAACTCTCAGCTTCTGTCATTTGATTGCAACAAGGGCAAAATTTTGACACGTTCCATTTCTCTATCCAACAAAGGATTGAGGTGATCTGGATATTTATAAAAAAACTTTTTCTAAACTCTAGCTAATAGCATTGATTTCATATTCAAATTATTTTTCAATCAAAAATTGAATACCCATTTTTAATCTCGTTCCTTTTATAACCAAAACACAATGTGGGTGCTTAATTTTTAAACTTGACCTAGTTCACACTCAATAGACCTAAAGACATCTATGCAATAGACTATGACGTACACATTGCTCATTAATCATATTTTCAATGCTAAACCCCTTCATAACAAAAACAAAAGGGGGAGCCTTAATGGCATAAATTATCTCATCATTCATCATCAATTGCATATTTTGCCCCCTTCTTACTTAGACTAGTATTTTGACTCTTTCTAAATTTCATAGTTTAATACATGTACAACTTATAGCTCAAAATACACAACTCAATTTAACAATCACATAGTGCAAGCAAAACATGAAATCTCCTAGTTGGCAATATCATAATAAGTTATACATATAGTTTTCAAAATAAATGAGGCATACAAATTTAGGATTAATATTCTAAGTCTCTGGTTTTTTCCCTTGGTCCTGCCCTTTTTTTTCACATATGGAATAAGAAAAATACTTAAGTAAACCAAATGCAACACATCATTTGTAGTCTGTTCAATAAAAATATAACATTTAGATGGGATTAGATATAAATTGATTCTGATATTAATGAGAGTAGAGAGAGAAAATACAAGAAATCAAATGTGCATTTTGTTATAAAAATAAAATCAATTAAAAAAATATCACACAAGATTTTATTTAGATTACTTGGATTATTTTAATTGGACAGACTATAAATGATGTGGTTCACCTCATCTACCTAAGTATTTCTCATGGGATGAATATGAGTTTCGATGAGTACGATTTCTTAGTCATGGGCTTTAATTAAGTATTATTATTATTATTATTACAAGGCCATGGCAAGAACCATGCAAAAGGTATAAAAATCAGGTCATATTAAAATTCAGGATATTTTTACATTCTATAGGAGGATTAGTAAAAACAATAAGATCGTAATTGTCTTGAGCAGCTTGGTGAGTGAGCATATCAGTGCATTTATTAATTTTTCTAAAATCATGGTCAAAAATAACTATCCAATTTTTATTCCAAACTCCCTTATTTTCTTAATATTATTTGCTAGAGGATAATTATCAAAGAAGTTTTGCTGAATGAGCATTAATTAATTATTTAATTTGCAATGAAAGGAGAAGAAAGGAAATCAAAACTAGCTTTGGCTGGCGTGTGCTCATAATATGCTCATCTGTATACCTCTGACAATTGAAGTGGTACGGTGCACGCTTGTTAATTTGCTTGTGAGGCAATGGTAGTTTAATTTGCTTCATTCATTCGTTCACTATTTATTTTCTTTTCACAAATGTTCTAAATGGTGTTGAGTTCTCTTGAGACTCATTTCTAGTTAACCTATAAATAAAAAAATAATTAATTTCCTTAATTTTTAAATTTTTTACAAGTAATAGTAAATTACCGTAAATATTTAACACATTATTGAGGGACATATTTTGAGTGATACTAAATCACCGCGATTGTCAAATGAAGAAAAGCCTCTTTGTACACTATTGTAAAATGATAAAAATCACAAATTTTTTGGTATATTTTAGGCTATATTATGAGTAATACTAAATCACCATAGAGCCTTTAAAATATCAATCGGAATATCATAAATGATACTAAATCATTATCAGTATTAAATTTCTAATTTAAAATTTTCTAATCAAATTATTCTCTGGAAAATTCTATCTAAAAATCTCTTTTATTCTTTTGGGGTTTACTATGAGCGATATTAAATCACTGTCTATATTGAGAGCATCAATTAGTGGACTATGGTGGTGGTGGTCGCAGCAACAGCAGTAGCAGCGATAGTAGTAACAGCAGTAGTAGCAATAGTCATAGCAGCAGCGGTGATGATGGTGGTGGTGGTGGTGGTAGCAGCAATCGCAGCAATCACAGCAGTAGCAGCAATAGGAGCAGAGGGGGAGTGGTAGCAATAGTAGTAGTGGTAGCGGTAATGGTAGTGGCAGTGGTGGTGGTAGTGGTAGTGGCAGTGGTGATAGTAGTGGTAGCAATAGTAATAGTGATAGCAGTAGCGGTAGTGGTGGTGGTGGTAGTCATGGTAGTAATAGTAGTAGTAACAGTATTAGTGGTGGTGGTGGTAGTAGGTAGCAGTAGTAGTAGCAATAGCAGTAGTGGTGGTGGTGGTGGTAGTGGTAGTAGTCGTAGTGATAGTAATAATGGTGGTGGTAATGGTAGCAATAGTGGTAGTGGTAGCAGTAGCGATAATAGTGGTGATAGTAGTCATAATAGTAATAGTAGTAGTAGCAGTAGTAATAGTCGTAGTGGTAGTGATAGTGGTAGTAGTGGTAGTCGTGGCGGCGGCAGCAGCAGCAACAATAGTAATAATAGTAATAGGAACAGCAGTACGAGTAGGAGTAGTAGTAGGAGTGGTGGTGGCGGTGGCAGCAGCAACAACAGTATATGTTTGACATATTTTAGGCTATATCCTAAGTGATACTAAATCACCTTGAACCTTTAAAAATATCAAATGAGATATTATGAATGATAATAAGTCATTGTAGATATCAAATTTTGCATTTTACATATTTTAGACTATATTCTAAGTGATACTAAATCACCTTAAACCTCTAAAAATATTAAATAAGATATTATGAATGATAATAAGTCATTGTAGATATCAAATTTTACATTAAATTTTTATAGTTAAACGATTCACTTTGAAATTTTTTTTAATATTTACCTTGAGTAATACTAAATTACCATATGCACTTAGAGTGTCAATCAGCAAATCATAAGTTATTTGAAATCACCATAGATTTTAGCATTAATTATTTTCCTCTTACCCAAATATATTATCAAGGAACAAATTTTTATAAAAAATAATAAATAAAAAATACAAATAATTAACATTCTCTTCATGAAATAAATTAATTAAAAAATTAAAAGAAAATATTTAATTAATAATACTCTCAAATTATAAGGACTTTGATTTTCATCACAGGATATGTAAGCTTAAGGATTTGATCATAGGTCAAGTCCTCCCATGTAAATAAATAACTTATTTTCATTATTTTTATCTTTATTTTTCAATGTGATTAAAGGATAATTAAGATATTATTAAAAGGTTAATTAATTTTATACAATTAATTTAAGGTAATCTTTTTCATGTAAAATTGAACCTTGAGCCGATTGCCAACAAAATCTTTTGTGTCTAACTTGGTGTGACGAGAGCAACGATAAAGACAATTTTTTTTAATACAACAAAACAATTTTTTTAATGCCTCTTTGAAGGGGCTCAATTTAGCAGTTCAGACTAGGATTAGAGCATAAGAGACCAAATGAAAATGAACAGGAAATATATGTTAGGAGTATTGGGGTGGAGGTCTACAATCGCAGAATAATTCCACAAAGATAAGAGTTTCCTCTCATCACTATCAATATGTTATTTACAGGCTCATAAAACAACACATTGAGATCCTTGCGGAGTGAGGTCCTTCGCAGAAGAGAGAACTGAACAGGGGGTCTCAGCAATAAGTGATGGGGGAAAAACCAGCAAACAAATCAGAAGATCTTCTGGTGAAAAGCACCATGAGAAGCAGAAAATCTCACCCTACTTTGCACCTGGAAGCTCAATCCATTGCAATTGGATTTCCACTTCACCACTTTCCACGTGTCGCAATCTGAGGGCCATATCTTGGGTGATCTTGCCATCGTTAAAAACAATGCAGCTTTCCTCTGCTAGGCAGTTTTGCCTGGTTGGTTGTACTCTTGTTATAATTGTACCGTTCGGGAGGTTTGATACCTGCATCCCCAAGGCTTCTAGAAATGGAATGATATCAAATTCAGCATCTCCCATTGGGTCATCTGGGCTCCAAGTATCATGGTCATACACAGTCTGCACTCGCAAAGAGATCAAGATTCTAATGTAAATTAAGGCGTCGACTTGGTATGCAGTGATTTGTACATGCAAAATATCATTCATACTCCTAAATTAAAAAACAAAAAGTAAAAAGAAATAAACACTATTTTTTTATCTCAATGAAACAAGAGTACTATTGAGTATTGAGAAATAATAACAAGAGTATAATAGATATTGCACGCCTTAGTTCATTAATTACAAAAATGGATTCCTTTTTCATTGATTATACCAAACGGGGCCTAGGAGATTGATATTTCAGTGTCCAGAACAAAAATCAAAGAAGCATAAAGAGGGAAAAAAGATGCTTTAATAAAAAAGAGCAAAGAATGTTATTTTCTTCTTTTTGCCTGGAGTGTGTACTTAGATCACTCTATTCGACCTGGAAAGAAGTCCCTTTGTACCTTGAGGCACAGAACATTCTCCGCAAATTAAAGACAACTGAAGAACTTCAATTATTGAAGTCAAGATATATGTGCTAGATACAAATCATTCAAGTTAGAACAGTACAAACCTCGTGAAGTTCCTATACTGTCATAATTTGAAATCGCTAGGGCCCCATTGTCCAATAAAAAAGATTAGAAGTATGGCGTCCAGAGCGTAAATGAATGTCTTAAGTGTAGTAGGATCCAGCACTAAATGCAATTTAGGGGGAAAATGAAGGAAAAAGAAAACAAAACCAAAGTCTTCCATATCTTACCATTACTCCGCTGGGACAATACAAGGGTAAGGTTGCTTACATCTCCATACTCATTTAAAACAAAACAAGCATACTTTTAGCAATGAAAAATCCAGGATGAGCAACATGGTAAAAATTTTATTGCTTCAAATTCAAAGCAGAGCAATCCATGAAATGCTATTTTTGGTGTTTATTACTCCTAAACTGCTTAGGAGGATGTCTGTGCGTGTAGATTGACAATTGATGTTTGACTCCCCCCCCCCTCTCTCTCTTCAAGATGACTATTTGTTCTTAATTCCAACGAGTGGCATAGACATTAAAATATGAACCATTGTTAGTAATTTTCAGTTAGTCTTGAATACAAAAAGCTATGTACTTCATCATATTTAAGAGATAGAAAACAGCAGGACTCCGTTCAACAGGGAGGTTCATACAAGAGAAAGACAAGAACCTTACCAATGTTACTGGAAGCTTTGGGTCCACGACAGAAAGCGTAAGCTCTTCATCCCACTCAGGATTAATATCCTTGTCAATAACGCGAGTCTTGAGTTTCTGGCAAAAGATGCATGATTGTACACAGAGAAAAACAACTATGTAAGTCATGCATCTATGGAATTTTTCCAATGCAGACGTCAATTGAATCATGTTGGAATAACAGGTAAAGCAGAAAAACAACTCATCTAGTGATAAGACACAATCCTAATAATTGCTCAGTCCAAAAAGCGAATTAAAAATACCTGTTATTACCATCAACAAAGATTGGAAAGTACAATCACCTTCGAATAATTTCTTGTGTTATTGGACAAAGTTTTAATTGCACTAGGCTAATAGTATATTATCCTAAAAATTTTACACAAATTTAACGCATTCTTAATGAATATATGAAGAGAGAAAATACTTAAAATATAATAAAAAAATATCTAGTCGCAGAAGACTTTTTCAATCTACAATCAACAACTACAATTATTTCAGTAAACAAGAGAGGAGATTCCACGAGTAATTTTGTTATGAACTTGAAAGAAAAATTTTACGTGAATCTAAATCATGCAAGGGCAAAAGAACGTCCAGACAATTTATTTATGTAAAATTTGTATCGGGAGGACTGCAGCATGTACAGAAATAAAGGCATGTGTAATTCGATTATATCTTGCATAAAAATTATGATTAAGTACATGCTCAAGAGAATTTGAATGAGTTAGATTTTAAGTTGAACTGATAGAATTTTAATTAATCATCAAACCATTACTAGAAATAGACAAAATCTTTAGAGTATGGCCTATAATCAGCTCCTTAGACCTAAACTAGACCTCAATATAAGAGCATGATAATTCGACAAAACGGCAATCCTTGATTACAACATAGAGAAAAGTGGAAACAACAAAAGAATAAACAAAACGATCCAGACGCAGTCCAAATCAATGTGGCCGTAATGTTGAAAGCAATTATATATCAGCAAGCAATCATCATTGCAGGCAAAACAACACCGAGTAATTTATCACTCAGCTTTGGTCCGGAATGCAATGGAGCAAAAGGAGAAGAATACAACGCGAGAAAAGTAGAACCATAAGAAAGAAAGAAAGAAATGAAAAAGACAAAGAGACCTGCTTGCCCATCCTGACGACGATGTAAGGATCGCTGCTGCGAACATCACGAACAGCGAGATTGACACCACGCTTGATGTGAACCCTGAGAAGGCCAAGCATTTGGTCCAAGTGAGGAAGGCCAGGTTCACTGGGTGAGTCGGCCATTGATTGATTGTCAATCTCGCTCCTCACTCTTGTTATTGTATCAAAACAATACCAATTAATCAAACAACAGTATGAAATCTCTGTTGGTCTGAAACAAAGAAGAAACGATCATTACAGCCAATAATGGAGGGAAAATGAAAATCAATAGCGGAAGAGGAATGAAAAACAATCACAGAAACGGGAGGGTGGGGCCCACCAGGATTCAGTTAATTTTTGGCGGAGAAATGTTGGATGGAGGGCTTAGAAGAATAACGATGAAGGGAATGGGGAGTGAGGAGGCTAACCGGAAGAATCGGTTCCCAAATGGATGGCAATTCTCCTTCGACGCCTTGACCGTGACTCCTATTTTTGAGCTTCCACAGCAACGTGACGTCCCATGTCGTGCTTTGCCTTTTGTTTTTGGTTTTTTTTTTTTTTCATTTATTCATTTTCGATAATTCATACTCTTCTGTTGATAATATATATCTATATATATTCTAATTTATTTTTTATCAGAAAATTTAAATTTTGTAAAATATGATAATGTTATCTTAGACTCGTTTTGGATAATCAACATTTGATTCAGTAGGCTCAAAGTTGTTTGAACGGCTTTCTCTCTTCTGCGATTGGGTGACTTGTGCTTGATTTGGTGGCTATCTAGGACTACAAATGATTCCTACCTCGGCTTTAGCTATGAAAACCTGGTTGTCTGCATTATTATGTGATGTTAATGTTTTAGACGATTATGGGCAGGCATATCTGTCATGGTTTTGCTAGAATATATGGAAATTCCATTGTAGGATGATTTTTGATGATGACCCTCCAAACCCAGGGGATCTTAGTATGATGACTAATGCCAGCCTAAAAGAGTTTTGGGGTACTAGAGGGCTGTTTGATACAGATAAGCCCGGTAAACCAAAAACGGCTGAAGTTTATTGGGTTAAACCACCTACTGGATGTGTTAAATTTAGGAAATTGGATGGCAAAGCAGGAATCGGTATTTTGGTTCGTGATGCAATAGGCCAATTCCTTGCAGCAGGTTTGACAAAGTGCGAGCGGACTCTGGATTTTTGGCTGAAGTTTATGCTGTCAAAAGAGCAATTGAGATCGCTCAATCTTGGCCAAATTGAAACTGATTGCTCTGAACTTTTCAATATTTGTTCTAGCAGATCGTTGCAATCTTGTGCTTGGCAACATCGCACTCTGGTTACTGACTTGTTGGATGAGATCGGGTCCTTTGAATTGTTGTCTCTCTCTCTTATTCCCAGGAGAGGAAAACAACCAGCAGATTACTTGGCAAGATTAGCTTTAAAGGAAGTGGAACCATTGGGTTGGGTGTCCTCGCCGCCGCCACCTTCTCTTGCTCTTTTTCTTTCAAAGGACGCGGGAATATCACACATCACACTCTGGTGCTGGCCAGTTTCACATGGACGATGAACGTGAAGGCATTGGATGAACGCTCTAGTTACATGCCTTCTGTCTTTTGTTTTGTGCTGTTAGTTTCTGGACTTTGTTTATTGTCCTTTGATATTGTTTCTAAGTACCGTTGCTTCGGGCATTAGCCTTTTGTTTAGATGAATGAAGAATCTTTTTCTAGCCAAAAAAAAAAAATGTTGTTTGGATATTAAATTTATATCCAAACCATATCTTAAAAGAACATTAAAAAAGTTGGTGAAAGTAAATTTGCTCAATGTAAGAGGTTGAAGATTTTGAAACGAAAATTTGGGTGTTGGGCATTTCATATGCATTTTCATTTTTAATGTATTGCATTTGTATAACTAAAATTTTCAAATCATACAAATTGATATCTATTTTGATAATAATATATTGAAAAAACAATTTTAATTATATGAAATCTGTAATATCTACCTTGACATTACCAAAATTCACCACACAATCACAACAAACAATCATAATTAAGAGCAAGGATTTGCTCCTAATCTCACATTATATATATAAGAGTTAAAACTAATAATCTTTTAAAAATAATTGAGAAATATTTGAGATCCCATAAAAACCCTTTAAATTGATAGTTTGAACTCAAACTTAATATTTATATAAGCTTTGTAAGTATGAAAAAGTTTTGGGAAGCAACCCACTTCAAAATAAGGGCCAAAAATGTCATTTTTTAGTGTTTTGGTCTATGCGCCGCGGCTTGTGGTCCGTGTGCCGCGGCATTTGGCACAAAATGCTAAATTTTCTCGTTGTACCGTGCACCGCGACTTGCGCGAAATGTGCCACGGCGCACCTATCCATGACAGCAATGCTGTCATGATAGCTTTTCTAGATGAATTTTAAACGCGCGCCATTTTCACATTCGATGTCCGATTAGAGTGATTCAAGCGCCCACGCGAAGCTTATTCAAGCTAACTAATGGTACAGGTTTCATTTCGATCCGACACCATATGAGAATTTTAGACACTTGAATGTAAAAGTCAGTTTTTCAAATAAATTTTCAACCATCCAAGTACCCAAAACTCATAACTAATAATACTATTAATCTATTGTGAGGCTTGAACCAAGTCCAATGGACCAAAATACACTTGAGTGACCAACCAAACACACAAAAACATACCAAACACAAAATTTAGCCACTCAATGGCCATTTTGCCTAATATGGCCAAAAGACCAAATCAACATCATGTATGCTATTTGGCCTCTATTGCCACATAATACACTACAAATACATTATCACCACATAAATAAAACATTCCTTGCACTTGTATTAGCATTTTAGCCCATCACCACAAAAATTACCACATATTCACCTCATATACAATATTGGGCTAAAATACACAACAACATAGTATGAAACAAGTGCAACCAATCAAAATGATATGCATTCCTAGTTAGCAACATATAATATCATATAATAAGTTTATGTACACCACTCAAACTAAAATCAGGCTTTACAAAGAGTGTAGCAGATATGCTGGCCCCTGCCCGATTCTCTACCTGGCTCAGTCTCACTGGTAGCACCTGTAAAATGATAATCCACGGGGTGAGATAAAAATTTAAGTAACTAAGATAATCTATATTATTGATTAACAAGCTAAATTATAAACAAGTATTAAAATAAGTAACATAATCACATCATATAAGATCACCACAAATTTGCATGCATGATCCCTAACCATCCGGTCCTCCAATACTCTCGACCGAACTAGTAGGCTATTTCACAAAACCAAATCACATGTATGGCTCTCAAGCTCACTATCCATGGTAGGACTAACCGGCCAAGGTGTCCTAAACCAGTTCTGGACTACTGGTTCCCCCTATTACAAGTAATTGGGGTGTCGTTACTCCAACACTGCATCCTATGGATGCTAAGGAGTATAGTCTCCAACTCCACACCCTTTTGGGTACTAAGAAGAGTAAGTCTCCAACACCGCACCCATTTTCGAGCACTAAGGAGAGTAAGTGCTGCACCTGGCGTCACGAGGTGCCAGCGATGCCATATGGACTTAATCTTCACTATCTCCACTAAGGTGACCTCCCACCTTCTAATATGCCACATTTCACTACATATCTCTATTTGACCATGCATAAATAACTTTTCAAACAAGTATAATAAAATTTTTTCATTTACTTCAAAAATATAGAATTTTACAAACCAATACTCCACTTTTTTTAAAATAGTTAACCTTTAAAAAATTCATGCATATATACTCAACAAATCATAGAAAAGTAACTTGAGAATAACTTATACAAGGTAATAAACAATACAAATTATCTAGTTACCTCAACCCTTTTGTTACTAAAAGGGTTACCCGTGGTACTAATTCTCTTCTTGTGTCAAGGTAAGTCTTCTCACACCACAATCTACAATAACAAGTACTATATGTTAATTTTTTATTAACACAAACACCATTAGCTAATATTAACCTTTCAATTCTCCCACTTCTTACTCATATTCTCAACAAATAGACTTGTCAAGATTACAATTTATTCACATCATCCCTTCAAATCACTTTCTAACTCTATCACAATATAAAACTCAATATCTCAACTTATCACACTTCAACACCCTATGATCAAATTGGGACTTGATCCAAAATTCACCAAAACAAGAAAGTAACTTCCTATTACCACATATCCAAGATCAATAAACCTAAATTAAACCTTCAGAGTCAATAGAAACCTTCAAAACATTGACTCATGGCTTAATACAATCAGACCAAATTCTCACTCTTCCAAATCCCATGGAAAATGAGATGAAAAGGTGGAGGAGAAGGGTAGGAAACTTACCCAAGAGTTTGGAGACTCAAATTATCTTCAAAATTCTTCTAAATTGATACTCTAGCAATAACCAAAGTTGCTCCCTTCGTGCTCTAAGTTTTCCACCCTAAAAACTGTCCATTTTTTATGATTCTCGAAATTTTAAGTTGCCTGCTGTGCCGTGCACCACAGCGCACGCCACGCAAGCCGCAGCTCACGACGCAGCGAGCAACAACTTGATTTTGCTCCCCCCGATGCCTCCCGACTTGATCCGACTTTCATCCTATCTCAATTTAGAGCCAAATATGACCCAAAAATTCAATTAGCCATCCAAAAAAATAATTAAATAAATTAATCATATTTTTAACTAATTTATCCCTTAATTAATCCATTTTTTCAGATTTGAAGTTTTAGGATGTTACAAAATCCAAACAAAACAACTTTCAATTTATCAAATTAATTTTTAAAAATATACATCCAAACAAATTTCATTATAACAACTTATTTTCACTTAACTAATTTTTTGCCAAATTAATTTTTAACTAACAAAAAACTTAATATGCACTTAAGCATTATTCCAAAAGTTTGATTTTAGAGATATATATATATATATATATAGAGAGAGAGAGAGAGAGAGAGTATTTTTTGAGAGATAACAACCCTCCAAATGGTGCTCAATTTTTTTAAGAAATTAGTCTCATAACTATTAGGCATGAGAATATCTTAAAAAACCAAAATAAAATAAAATAAATGTGCACTTGTTCCATTTTATGTCCAAGATATTGTGTGGAGTTGAGTGTTTGAACGGTTGCTTTACCATGCTAGCGTTAAATGATTTAAATTGCCATAAAGCGGGAATAAAAAGAAGACCAGTGTCACGTCACAGCGGGTAGAGAGAACCTAATCAAGTTTTGCAATAACTTCTCAGCCTCAAATTTTAAACACAGGCATCTAATTAATACTCTCGCATGTTCACAGCATAGAATATTAGTAAATACTACATAATTTTAAAAATAAAAATTAGCTAAAATTTTAACTTTAAAAAAACTTATACATATTTTCAATTATATTTTTAATAAATGCTTTACATAAATATCTTCATAATGACAATTAAAATTTCCATAGACCACGTTTCTAAAAAAAAATAAAAAAAATAAAAGTATATTTGAAAAAAAAAATCATAAAAATTAAATAATGTCATATATTTTAAACTAGGCTTTAAAAAATTTCCTTTATCGTGGACAAGAGAAAGTAATTAACCATTTTGAGATATAACTATTCATTTCTATATATTTTTAAACGTTTAAACTTATATTAAGTCGTTTATATGTGTAACACTTTTTGAATAATTTATTCATTATTTATTATTCCATCTCCTGCTTCGTGGTTGATATTCAGTTATGAACTTGTATCTGCATTTGTACGCTTCTCTCCCTTAAATATAGCCTGCAAAATGTAGATAGAGGTTTACTTTATTTATGTTCAACTTTACGCTAGCAAATTTTTTGATTACCAGCTTCGTTAAGCCTGTCCGTCGCTTGGTTTCACTTTTTATTTAATTTCTCTACCACTTGGGAACAAGTCAGGCAATAGTGAAATAAAACATGAATAATGATAACCAGGATCCCCCCCTCCCCCCGGGGTTGACATAAACCCACTGACATCGAATATGCATGTATGTGTACGCAGACATATGCTAATGCATGCATCCACGTGCGGGAAGCAAGGAATCAGGGAACTAGTTGGTAGTTACACATCCTATAATTTGTGAAACATAAGAAAACCAATATGTGAAGCACTTCGATAGGGCAAAACTGAGCACAGATCAGAGCAGATTATTGCAAGAATATTGCATAATTGTATACCAAGGAGCACTAAGCCTCACTTCACCGCTATACTACAATCCGAATCTATCCTAAGAAACAAAATTGGACCTCCTTCTGACAAACAGGGATTACTTGTGTCACAGAACCTCAAACTAACGCTGAGAATGAAGCATTGATGCTTTCCATGTCTCTTAAAATTGTCTTGCCACAAGGGACAAAAAAAAATCATATCTATTCCTTTTCTTCTGCAGAAACCACATTTTACATTACTCCTCTGTGACTAAAACTCGAAACGCAATTCGATTACCTCAACAGTCTAAACACGTCACCTGGATTTACCAATGTAGGGAGTTCGCTGGATAAAAACCGTTCTACTGAGCCCTCAGTCCTTCGTTCAAAAGTAGGTGCTTCTAGAATAGCACCTTCAACTTTTCAAGAGAGGAAGCTGCCCTTTTGTTTGTTGGCTCAAGTACGAGAACATATTTAAAATCTGCAGAATGAAGAGTTGATCAGCCAAAAATCTACAATGTGCAGATAAAAAAGAGGATAAAACGGTGGTGAACCCTTTTAGTTTTTTTTTTTTTTTTTGAGATAAACTTTCATTGTTCTCAACCGTTTATATTTTGGCAATTTGTGACCGTAGTACACAGTTGACCTTCATATATTAATAAAATTGCATAATTGGACAGTCCAAAAGATTTTTAGCAAAATATGAGGTTCATATAACCAGCTCAAATTAAGAATACATGGTTCTTAAATGCTTAACTTTATTTCAAATGACATGATAAATACCTTGACAGGTAAGCACAAATATGTGAAAAGAATGGAAGAGCTTACCATCAGTTGCCTCCTTATAGTAGCCTAGCATCTCTCTTGCCGTACCTCTTCGGAAATAGGCTTTCACATTCTGAGTAAACAAAACAAGATTAAAGGCTATTTTAACATGCTATAGAACAGTCACATTCCAGTCCAAATAAGAATAAGTTCTCTGTCACAAAAGCACATGATCTATTAAGAGCATGGTTGGTTTCACATACCAAACACGAACTAGTTCTACAACAAAAGCAGCACATTTGTTTATAGACAGACATTTATTTAGGCTTGGTTCAGAGGGGATGAAAATATTTTTCCTAAAATTTCATGTATCTGGCAAGTAAACTGCAGCCCCCAATTGCAGACCCGGAGATGGATTTAACATTGTATGTGACAATTTTGACTTTGGTGTGTCAGACTTGGAATCTATATTCGTAGCAATGGTAAACAAGATTTTTCATTACCAAATTTCAGCATAAAGATGCTGAATCCATACATAATTGAAATAAAGGTTAATGTCAATTATACAACAACAACAACAACAACAAGCCTTTATTCCACTAGGTGGGGTCGGTTACATGGATTGCAAGACGCCATTGGATCCAGTGTAATAATATAAAATCACAAAACCACCAATTACTAGTACTACAACACAGAACTTTGAAGTTCAAAGGTCACTGGAGACAGAAGTCACCTTTTTGTCAAGATTTATTGCTTTTGTACAATCTGCCTCAGCTTGAATGAAACTGCATTCACAGAAAAATATCAAATGTTGGCAAGACAACCATGAGGTTAAACTGCAAGTTGCAAGTATGAAACACTACCTCCCAAGTTCAAGATATGCTGCGGCCCTGTTACTGTAATATGTTGCATTATTCCCATTGAGTTTGATAGCTTCTGTATAGAACCCAACGGCTCTCTGCCACTGCTTATCTTTGAATGCTTGATTTCCCTGAATTATTGCATGACAAACCGAAAGATAAAGAATTAAGGGGAGGAAATCCAATAAAGAAGAAATAAAGAAAAGACAGAAAATCAATAACTTGCTGCAACTATGAACTAGAGAAAAGATAATGGAAATCCTTTCTAAGGTTTGACAACTACTTAAAGACACTGTACATAGGATAAGATTACTTGCAAGAGCAAGTGGTGAAAGATATGGTCTCAGTACTTCTCATGTACTCAAGACTGATGGAAAATTAACATTATCTTACCCAGCATTTTGAAAATAAAAGGGCATATTTAACAAGTTATATGATAGATGTAGCTTTGTTGGAAATATTGAGTGGAACGAAGAACTGAGACAAGTTCTGCTGAGTCTAGCTCAGTGAACAACAACAAAAAACTTAGACCAGAAGAACAAGAATTGAAAGGAAGGGAAGGGGAAGGCACTCCCTTGAATCCCCCCCCCCTATGCTTATAAGCATCCTCCTATTGGAGAAGATAATCTTGTTCAAAGTATGGTTGGGCACTAAATGCGGGCACTTCTCCCAATGGGAATTTGAATTTGAATCCACCACATTGTAAGGGACTAGTCCCTTCCGCAGCAAATAGAGAAGTGTAACAACAAACATGGATTGGAGACAAAAAGCACAATCTTTCCTCCAGCAGTTCTGTGAAATACCCATTTTCTCAATTCAATAAATATCAATGTCATCCAAAAGATTAATTGTGTTTCTAGGGAGTTTCATCTTCGAACAAAGCAGGAAACTTGAAAGATTGATTTTCAGTCTATCTGAATAGAGTTTCTGCCATAACTTGGACAGACTAGTCAGAAATTGGAGTGTGATGGAACCCTCTATTCTAATAAGCTTTAAACAAGCATAAACCAAAAACTACAACACAAATGGGGACTGAAAATTACTATTACCGAATAGCAAAGTTGGATTACAGCGAAATAAGGAACTGAAAATTATAGCGTACTGAAACAGAAACAGCACAAAAATACACTCCACCAAACAACAATCACAAAATATAAGTCACTCACTTACAAACATACACTAAGCAGAAGATAAAATGATGAAGAAAGATGACTTCCTCCACCCCCAACCTGGCATTCAAGAGGCCAGAGCTCTCCTCACCACTCTCAATATTTCAAATAATTCCCACCCTCTCTCTAGGCAAGGAGGAAGATTTAAAGACCCAAAAAGTGACTCTGACACAACCCTTACCCCTAGAAGACTAACACATCACTAGGGATCTAACACATCACTAGAACATCAATTACTTTGCCTTATAACCAGCATCCAGAGGGCAAACATCTGAACCAACAATAATGTTATCTTCTAAGCTCATTGCCTTCATTGATTTCCTCTTATAGGTCTTAGTAAAATCATGAGCTCTATCAGAGTGACATTTCAAAACACAAGCAAGCAGGAGGCAGTATTTCATAGGGCAAAAAATTTAAATGAGATGAAATTATAACTGATGGGCATTCTACATCTAAGGCATTCATAGAATACAGCCTTTGTTTTTCTAATTCAGATCAGAAGGGGACACAAAAATGCAAAAACAAAGGACTAATTTTCCCCAATAGAATGAACTGTGAAGGGAAAGTGATTGCATTTGTGCGGCCTAATTTTATCTAAACTCTGCCAAGAAAGAAATGAGAGGCATGTTTATAGGTAGCAAGTATACTAATGAGTTAGGTAAAAGATTGACATCCTTTAGATTGGGTCTATTTCTTTCTTGCAGACCTTGGCTTTTCAGTATATACTTGATACTTGATGTATTTTTCACATAGGGAGTAATGCCCCTTTTTGTTATATAATGGTTTTGAGCCAATATAATTTTTCACCTTTTAAAAAATACGAGACACATCAAATTTATGTTTGACATATCCATTGACTTTGATATCAAATTTTTATTTACATATTTCTGGCATATAAAATCAAACATTAAGATATCAAGTTAACTTTGCCTCAGATGCAAAGTTTAACACAAGTGCAGTTAATAACACACAACATGCAACTTTGCCATGCAGGAAAAAAAAGGAACAATGCAGCTAATAACCTATGGTTGTAATACTTATAACAACTGAGTGTTGTGCAAATTTCAAAATATTATTTACCTAGAACTAATTCTCAAGAACATCGACAGACGTCCAAATGAAATGGCATCAATACATGCACAAGAAAGAAACAAAAGAAACAAGCATGACCTGTTTAAATTCTACCAACACTACTGACAAATTCATGATCACTAGTCAACATCCACTTTATAACAGGTCTTCAAATGATAAATTCATGGGTAATAAACCGCAGCAGTATGTTAGCTACTCCCTCCGGTCCTATTTGCAAGGCACATTCTAGAAAGTCTATTTGATCTCATTTATAACTCACGATGCAGTTTTTTAGGTAATATTTGAAAGGGATATCCAAAATTACCCTTTATGAGAGAGAAAAAGTAACATAACATTACTTTTTGGATTTGTTATATAGAGACATATTTGAAATTCTACACACTTATTTTGTGCACTTTTTTTGCATTGGTATTAATAAAGTTGGTAGAAATGACTTGTAAAGAAGACCAAAAGAGTATATTCTAAATCACAATGAAGTGAATTTTAGTGCTAAGTGTATCCAATTCATGAAAGCAATACCTTCTCCTTGGCAATTTCTGCAGATTTTTCCTGACTGACAACATTACTGGATGGTTTAGTTTTGGCAGCAGCCTCTGCCTGCTCTTGGAGTGTTGTGTAAATGGCCTGTACTGTATCCAACAAAAAGCGATCACCACCATGTCGAGCTATCAAGGACACTGAAAGAGGACATTTGTCATGAATTCCTAGTGGTATGGAGACCTGAAAGCACAAGCACATGTTATCACAAGATATACATCAAAGATGAATAGCAGCAAAATCCATAAAAATCAGACAGCTTCCATATCTACTCAATTTAGGTACAGTTTTCTGTTCATATTGATAACCTCCTCAATATTACTATAGAGGCTAGCAACCTCTACATTTGCATTTGTATTTTGGACTAAAACTTCCCTACATTTCACTACGTCAAAATGCATATATAGCCAATGCCAATTGCCAAGGCATTAAATCATTCCTTTAAGCCCACTAACGCATGCAAATGAGGAAATGACTTAAATATCCATATATTTTGTTTGTTGTCTTTTAGGTAACAACTAGGTCTAAAACAAAACTGTGAAGGCTGCCAACCTCCCCCCATGGCATTAGTAAGGAGGTCAACCATCCCCTATGTTTATATAAGATGCCAGCAACACAAATTGCAAGAGTATAAAATATTTACCTGACAACAACCTGATATGCTAGCAATGCTTAACAAGCTAAATGCCCGACTTTGATATTCCTCTGACAGGATTTCCTTCCCACCCAATTTTGGAGGAAAATCAGCTACTGTAGGGATCACCAAAACTCCTTCATCCTTAAAAGCAACCAACAATAATTAAAATTTAGCAAATTATTTTTTTCCTGGTCAAGATGTAAGCTTAATAGTTCCAAGCTTTTGTGAAAAATCTACTTTCACCCCTCTTTTATTTTTTCAGTTGGGTGGTCTGTGAACCAATTGCTCTGAACAAGAACCAATTGCACCAAAGACAGTAAGAGATTTATGTCAAAAAACACAAAATGTTATTGCTTAAGAAGTAAAATATTATTTTGTGTTATGACGTTTTTTCCCTAAGGCGCTGATTTGTCATAAGTTCTATTAAATATACATTGTGTGCATTATCAAAATTCTGTTAAGCTGTGTTTCTGCCGATAGGAAGAAAAGATTCTAGTTACCATTCACCATTAGCCTTACTTACTCAGAATCAAAAAGTATTATCTGACAGCAAAGCAACTGAATGAACACGTGCAATGAGGTCTAAAGACACTAATTCACTACCTTCAGAAGAGAATTGACAGCAATACGCATCTCATTTCTGACAGATTTCCAGTTTTCAACATCTTCATCTGATACCTCAAGCTTATCTTGCAATTGAGCTGAAATAGAAGGATGTAAAGTAGGCTTTTCTGTGTTCATCCACTCCTCATGCTTAAGTCTAAATTCATGTCTGAATGAGCATATTCATACAATAATCACTACAATATCCAAAATGTCTAGAAAATCATAACATAAAGATCTAAATAAACAAATACAAAAGAAGATAGATTAAAAGGAAAAACAGATAGGACATGATTAGACATGATAAAGACAAAGTTGACATTACTTTCAAATCACACAGCCATTTACCTGTTTACCAATTGTTGGGAAGATGCAAATGCAAACATAAAACTTGTAGAAAAGGCACCAAACAGAAAATGCATTTAACATAAATTTGTAATTTATAATAAAATTTCCATATTCCAAATAAAATAACTGACCTCTGAAGAAACTGCATAACATTGGCAAGTAGTTTCAGTGAAGAATCTTTCAGTCTACCATTTACATGCTGGCTGGCTACTGCTTTCAAGCTGGGAACTGTAGAGCTTAAATAGTCCGCAAGATTCATCTGCTTTAGTACTTGCCCTGAAGACAATTTATGTTACAAAATAATTTAGTGCATTTGGATATGCAATAGAGAAGTTACCTGTAAAGACAGCAACATGAATGCAATAAAGAGCTTCTAAAGATTATAAGAATAAACCTTAATGAAAAGAAGCAAAGAGCAAAATAACATACTTCCAAAAAGTTTCTCCGTGGATCTAATCACCACCTGAGAACTCTTTTCCAGAGGAACATTTATATGTTGAAAACAATCATCTGCTATTATTATTTGTCGAGGATTGCGAGGAACAACATATGATGCTGGCAGTAGTATATGGCCAACACGGTTCAAAACTTTAGGATCCTTTGCAAACCAACCTGTACAAGATTATGAGTCTGCTATGAAGCCATAAGAAAAGGTACTTTTTATCATAAATGACCAGTTCACTAGAAAGAGGAGAAATAAATGCATCATCTGTACCAACAGTGTCCAGGCTTGTTGAAACAGGAATAAGCCCCATGTGAGAAACAGCCCCATAAGAAGGTCGAAACCCTAGAACACCACAAAATCCAGCTGGTACCCTTACCCCTCCAACAGTATCAATACCTGTCATGAGACAAAGGCATAAAAGCAGACAGGACTTTTCAATCTCACGTAACAAGGTGTCCAAGTATTCCTTACGCTTTAAATATTGATTCTTGAGCCTAACTTTTTTTGTGGTTGGAAATTGAAACTGTAAACAATACACAGGGATTCGCCAGAGTCAAGCAAGAATGCAACAAGCAAGAACATTTTTCCCGACCCAGCTGAGGGTGAGAAAACCTTGAAAAGAAACAACCAACACAAGATCTAGTCTTGATTCAAAAAATGAAATTAAGAAAGAGGGGCGTTCACCAAAAGATGATTGAACATTATTGGGTTTACTAGATGGCCTCTCAGAGAGAGGCACGTCATGTTACCAACTGACCATCCCTCAAATTTTCACAATTCAAATTCAGCGGTCCAAAACTTCAACCAAATAGTTCTCTCCTTTCTTATCCTCCTACATTAACATAATTTTATCAGGTGACCAAGGTCCAGATTCACTGCATTACCCTTGAGAAGGTACACCGAGTTGCAGTTGGTGCTAGCAAGATATTTTTCTTGCTAATTTTTACAGATTTATTTAGCATTCAATCATTTATTATGGAATTATTTTCCACTGTTTGTTCCAGATTATAAGGAGATTTAATTACTTGTTACTATCTACTTTATTATATCACGGAATCTCTGAGATCTTCACAGATTCAAGCTGCAGGATTGTTGCTACCAACCCTTTAAAACTTCTCCCATATTCTGTAATAAAAGACAAATATAGATTATCCTCTGTCTTCGCTCAGTTGGCAATCATTCTATTACTATGTGTGGACAGATTTATACTTAAATTCAACATATCTCATATCCATATAATAAAAAAATGACAGAATGATAGAATATAAATGAAGGTATTGGTCCATTTCTCCAGAAATTCAGTTAGTTAATTTCCATAAAATTCAACTGCCTAAAGCCAATCTTTAATGCCATCCGTCAGCAGCAATGAACTAGCAATGCATAATTAGAAAACCAAAGGGGAGGGGCATGAGAAGTTACAGGTTACAATACAGTTGGTAACAGTTCTATTACTACATAAGTACTGAATTAAGCTTGTACTCGACAAATTCCATATCCAAATATTTGAAAAAAAAAAATATGTATTGACAAAAATATATAAATCCAGAATTCAGTTAGTTAAATAGCAAAAATTCAACTGCCTATGAAACTTCTTTAATGTCATATACAAATAACAATGACTTCATCACGTGTCATATAAAACTGAACAAGTAGTATGCACAATTTAAAAAAATAAAAAATAAAAAAGCAGCCCACCTAGAGAAAAATCAACCAAACCAGCAGCAACAGCCACAGCAGCACCACCAGAGGAGCCACCTGGTACTCGGGCATGTACAGCAGGATTGGTTGGTGTTCCAAAATGCTTGTTTTCACCACTTATACTGAATGCAAGAAAGACAAAATAGAAACATAAATCAATGCATGTGTATATACATACATACAAATATATATACACACACACACACGCAGTAAGAGATAATATTATGGAGGAAACAAAGTCAAATTGTCCACCAAACCACAAGCCAGGGGCTTTTATAGGGAAATCATTTATATAGTTCTCAAATCATACGTATGACATATAAAACACACACACACACATATGTGAATGTGAACAGTAAGATTCAATAACAACCCCCCAAAAAAAACTTAGGGGACGTGCTCACGACTTTAGGGGGAAAAGGCTACTTAGAAATAAGTCATAGATAAGCTCATTATTACTCATAAATATGCAATAGTTAAATCTTGAAAGTGATATCATTCTCTGTTTTCTTTATAAGATGCTAAAATAACACTCGACAACAATGCAAGCACTGCCAAGGCATCTCACTATTTTTGCACATTTTTACATGATTTTTCACGTTGGGATGTATTGCATGATTCATGGCCAATTTAAGACTGCTTCTGATTCAAACATGTATTCATATGGCAGAGTCTTTTTAAAATCAGATTATTTGAATCATGATTCACGTGATATAGATACCTATGACCATTTACTGAAAGGGAAGGGCCCCCCCGCAAGTAGCTATCAGTTTTCTTATCTAACCAAATTAAATCAACAATAGGCGGTTATTACTCTATATCAGTAAAAGTAGCAATAGAATACGACACCGACCCAAATGCTAGTTCATCTACTACAGTTCTCCCAATGCAGGTTGCACCTCCTTCAAGAAGAGAAGAAACTGCAGCAGATGTCTGAGAAGCAGGTCCATGCGCCCTTGCCCAGTCTGGATGGCCAAACGAGGTGACATATCCATCTATGTCAAATCTGGTAATCATCATGACAAAGATTTTGTAAATTAGAGACCGCAATAGCTTCATCAACAATTATAAGTTCGCAAACACAAGCCAGCAGTTCTAGTTCTGCAAGCAGATAAGAACTGAATAAGAAGTAAAATTTCTTCTGAAAGCAAGGAATGTTTTTTGGGGTTGAAAAAAGGAAATTTTGTGGTTACAAATTTATTCAACCAGGAGTAACATGAACCTAGAATCTTAGTGAGAAGAAAGCCCTTCAAACGAAACTACCGCAAGATACCCGGTTCAAAAATTAACTAATGGAGAGAACCCTTGACGAGATGAACTCCGAATTCGACACTTAAAAACATAATGCTTCCCATCACCCAAACCATCAAAACAAGGCTTGTCACAAAACACCAGCATATGTTCCCTACTCTGACATTCGTTTCACAAGTTTCCTCAAGCAACCAAAATACACAACCGCAGCAGTGACTTACACATCAGAAACGGCGAAAGTGAGGCCAGTGAGTGGGTGAGGGGCTTTAGGGGGAGCAGGCTGCGGTGGAGGAACAAGAAGAAACTTCTCGACAAAAGCGCCAAAGTCCTCTTTAATGACCTTCTTGAACTTCCTCGTCATTAGCAGGATTCCAGCCAAGCCCAATCCCAAAAGGACCCATAAATTGGCGGATTGAGACGCCATAGGTCCGACGATATTCCACAAAGAGCAACAAAGGGTTTATGAATACAATGAAATGGTACAGTCACGACTAGAGGATAACACTGCAGTGGGAAACCTAACCAGAGAGGCCGGTTTATAAGTGCGAAGAATATATAGGGACAGGAAGATATCAAGTTACCAACCCGTGTGGTATACATCAAAGATGAGGGTAATATGTCCCAATCTGTCCCCCATGTTTGTCATATTGTCGTTTAAAACCACCCCCTTCAAGGACTTTTGGCTTTGAAGCCATTAATTAAGTGGAGAAATGAAAGAAAATAATTAAATTAATGTTTGAAAATTGGGAGTATTTTGGCAAAATATACTTTTAGTTTTCTAATCTTACATAAAATTTTAATTTTATTATTTAATTTTATAAAATATTTTTTAGTCTTTTAATACTAATATCATTAATTTTAAATAATTATTTTTATATTAATTATTGTTATTTTGAAAAGTTAAACTTAATATGTTAACATTTAAAAATATTTTTTTAATATTTAAAATTTTAATGTAAAAATTTATCAGGATAAAACTAATAATATTAGAGTTAAAAAAATTAAAAAGATACTTTAAAAAATTAAAAAATTAAAATAAAATATTGTATAAAATTAGATGACTGAATGTACATTTTAGCCTCTTTTGTTTCAGCGTTTGGGAGTATTCCTTGAGGAGAATGGAATAGACGAAGCTGATTAAAGATTTTATATATTTTTATTTAGTAAAAATTAATGTTAGTTAATGTTAATGATTAATAAATTAATTCAAAATAATATTAAAAATTCATCATTTTATTTTTAAGTATAAGATATATTTTTTTTTGCTCACGGATGGGAAGCAATATTGTTCCAAATACGGCCAGTATTAAATGTGAATAATTGTTTCAATAAAATTCAAATCTTAATTTATCATGCTGTGATCTTACTAAAATCAATCACTGTTGATAAGTGTAAGATATTTTAAAAAGACTTATATGCAAATGAACATAATTTTATTATAAGGATCATGTAACTTTTACTCCCTAAACCTTGTTTTGATTAGGGATTTATTTAGTTTTTAAACTTTGATTTAATACAATCTTTTTTTTGGTAATTTATTGAGTTAAAAAATTATATGAACTGAGTTATATCAAATTAAAAAATTATAACAAATGAATTGTTATGAGTTAATTAATTATAAAGACTAACTTGTTTTGAATTAAAATTTAAGAATTAAATCGATAGTTGAAGAAAATTTCAGAAATAAAAAAAAAATTGTGTTTTTCATTTGAAAGAATTGCATTAAAATCCCAAGTAAGAAAATTAATTATTATAAAACTTATTGATAACTGAACTATGGCCAACGGTAACTAATTGTGTTTGGTGATGTTTTATTTTTGCTTGGGTCTGCGGATAGAGGAGTGGTTCATCGGCTCGAAAATAATCAAATCTAAAGGGTGTTCTTGGTTTTGCTTGTGGTTGGATTGTTCCAAAGCTAGTTACTCAGTTTTGTGTTTTTAGGGATGGGACAATGACAACCTTTTTTATAATGGTTCTCGTTGGATCTTTACAGCGGTGGCATTTCTAGGGTGCTAGGGAAAGACATTTCTTAGGCCATCAGATGATGACTCATGGTGCAAGCTTGCCATCTCTTTATCCTCTTCCTCCCACTGTGTTTGTTAAGTCGATGTCCATGGTTGTCTATACTACTTTGGGATTCACTCATGGTGGCTGTTCTTCAACCTCTTTAATTGCTTCCTTAAAAAGGGTGGGATCTTTTGGGTGGTTATTTGAACCCTCACCCCTTATGGTTCGGTTTTATTGTTGGTGCTTTTTCTTTTCTATAGATTTCAATGTGACGGCGGCAACAATGGCAGTTGCTTTAAGCTCCCCTTAATCTGTTGTTTAAGGCTATGGTTTTTTATGGTTTTGTCCCTTTTGTTTGGGGGCCTTTTTGTTTCTAGGCTGTCCTTTTATACTTGCTTATGTTTGTTTCTAATATATCTAATATATAGTGTAAAAAAAAAGCTAGAAGTAAATTTTTAAGATACTGATATTCAACTGATTTTAAAAAGTGTCAACTTGCTCTAGAAATTTGTATAACTTCTTAGTATTTCTCCTTTCATGAATGCTCACTCTCTATTCTCTTTAGCGGCGTCGAAAAGAATTGGCAATGCCTCCTAAATGATTACAGGAGTTAAGGGTTATATAGTAGCCTTAAAGCCCATCGTTGGTTTCTTTCTTTTCTTCTTTTTACACACACACGTCTTTCTTAATTTTTTTGGTTTTTTAAATATTATCATCATCGTTATCATCATCATCTTTTGATTTCTTTATTTTATTCTTTTCTTTTCATTTTCACACTATATATATTAGATAGATTCAATATTTTAAAAATTAAATTGAATATTAAATCGAACAAGTCAATGGATAAGGATTTTCGTGGTCCAACCAGTGGTCAACATAATAATTAAATAAAAATAATACACATACATTTATATATAAACATATCAATTATAAATTAACATTTTTATATTTCACCTATTACTAAACGATAAGAATAAAGAGAAAATATTAAATATATAATAATAAGTTTAAAAAATTAAAAGAGATAGAATATATTATGGATCAGATAGATTTTTAAATCTTTTTATTGTTAAATCTTAACAAATATTATCATAATCACAATTTTAGTTATATGATTCGTGTAAACTGGAGTAAATTTTTTAATCTTTTCTTGCTTTTTGTCTTTTCTATTTTTTAATGGTCAGCTTTGAAAGATGGGAAGCTTTTTTCTCTATTCTCTCACCGTCAGTTTCAAAAGTTCTCCAAGCTCAAACTATTCATCTTCTTCTCAAGATAAAATTTCAAGGTGCATTCTTTCCTTTACGTGTTATGTAAGGTCTCCCATAGTAAACTATAATCAACTTTATAATCGAGATAATTATGAAATTAATTTAAATAAATTATCAAATTTTCATAATTCACAATTGGGAGAACAATTCTCAAAACATTTATAATGGAATCCCAAGTTTTCAACAATCAAATTTCTCCTATAAACTCACACATTGTTCAAATCAAAGTTTAAAGAAATGCAGAAGCCCGAAAATCATATGGGACCCAAACTATTGAGTTTCAAAACTCAGAGCAATAGAATTGTCTAAAAAATGTGTCATACGCTGCAGCTAAGTGTCAATGCTCTGTGGTTCACTCACCTCTGTGCCATGTGCTGCGGCGTGAGACACCATATGCTGTGACACATTGCACACAATTTGACAGCAAACAGCTACTGTCATTTGACAGAAGTGGGAGCTAAATTTTGACATGTCCTAAATCTCCATCCGACATCCAATCGATGTGGTTTTAGTGTCTATACGAAGCTTTTTCTAATTCTAGCTAATAATATAAGTTTCACATTTAAATTTATTTTCTATAAAGAGTTGGACACCAAGACCCATTTTACCACTTTTTCACATACAACTCACAATAATGGTGTCCCAACTCAACCATTAAGTGTCAAAAGCCAATATCGACCATGCTCAATGGACTCTAGTGAACTTAGGAAAACACACCATACTCAACCAAAAACATATAAAGCTCAATTTCACCACTCAAGTTCAAATTTCAAAAAATACAAGGGAGAGAAATTTCATGCACAAAATAATCATTTTCATTTCAAATCGGTCAAATTATACATGTTTTTACTTACACAAGTATTTTGACCCTATCCAAAAATTTACAACTAAAACTCATTAATCCAGGCATAAAATCACAAGTGAGATACAAAACTAATGCAAGTAACTCAAAATAATGACATATGACCTAGTTGGCAATTTTACAACATAAATACACATAAACAGAATATAGAGGCACGAAAATAGGATTTTCACCACAATCCTACTCCTTAGTACGTTTTTCTCAAACCAGATCCAATGAGTTAGGTTCTGAAAATATTAAAAATTGAAGGATGAGTACAACCACTCAGTAACCAAGTTTCATCTAGTCCATACAATTGCATATCAATTGAAAACATATACAAATAGGCAAAATTACACAATATCACACATATGATGAATATGACCACAGTTTACAATACTAATAACCATATGACCGAGTTTAATGCACATATAATCGCATAATGACAACGTACAACATGAGATTGTAATAATACAAACTATGCGCCCCTAACACATATCGGACCATAATAATAACAATCATATGACTAGATTTAAATGCATGATCAAATGCTAACCTTATACCCTCATGTTACCTCTGACATAAAACCAGCAACTATCACGTGACTACGTCCTTCACGGATTAACCCAACTTTTCACTTGTGAGGAGTTACCGGGTTAGGATTAACTGACTCACTTATGTAATCTAGTTTCCCTCAATATTAACAACCACGAAGTGTTATATCCTTAATTTAGCCTCCTCATGAACTGGTGGAAACTAGTTAGGTTCGAGTCTCTCATAGAACAAATAAGACAGTCCGGAATCAATTATGGAACGGGGGCTACCTCTTAATTCCAACGGTCTGTGCCAAGGTAAGTTTTTGATTCCAATAGTTACTACCAATACTACATAAATTTAATCATCTACTTCTCTTACTAGACGAACTCTCGTCAATGATCATACGATACATGTATACCATATATTCATGCAATTCAATCATCAATCTCATAACATCAATTCATATATAATCACATATTCAACTCACTCGACTTGCCAAATACCATATTTTATTAATTTCATAATGATTAGCCATTTATCCAATCTTTAATTACAAAGAGAATGCTTGCTAAAGGTTTTATTTTCAAAATTATACCACAAATTCATAAGTTCATCATTTTGCTAAATATTGTATCAATAGTTAAAAATATCAACCATACTTTACACAACAATCAATTAACATTAAATTATATAAATTAAGTTTCTCTTAGTTATCTTAAACATTTGAAATGTCAAAGATTTACCCCTTATAATATCAACTTTCAAAGCTTCTCATAAGCTCAAATGGTGCCAAAGAGTCACTTTACAAACATAATACAAAGATATCATCATTATCCCAAATCTTAAGAATTTATCAATACCAAACTCCACATTTCTATTCTATCAATCCCATAAATTTACTACCCATTCATACCCAATATGTTCTCTAGGTTCCATTAACTCATATTATTATTTTTAAGTCATTAAACCACCATTAATGAGTTATAAACACCTCTAACAACTATATTAATTGTAAAATTCGTATGAAAATAACTCATCCCAACTAACTCTTGACAAAATCATTAATTTAGGGTTTAAATACTTCAAACAACTTCCATTATATCCATTCTAACCCATGGGCTTAGACTTATAACTCCTATGGACTGAAAACCAATCTTCTAACTCAAACTTAACTTAAATCTTCATAAAATATGGTAGAGAAAGGAAAATAAGGGCATAAACTACTTACCTTAGGTGTTTAGATGCCTCAATATGTCTTCACGGGTCCCAGTGGATATGCCCTAGCTAAGCCAAGTTGTGTTTTTCATTTCCCAATCTTCCTTCCTTTTGTTTTCGTATGCAAAACATAACTAATAAAGTTTGATTTTTGGCCATGCACCACACAGAGAGGCCCAATGCATGCTAATCTGTCTCTGTGCATTGTGGTGAATTGCCCACACACCACGACATGTAGTACAAGAGCAATTCATAACTTATTCCTCATCTTTCCTTGCTTGGCTTGGCCTAACTTAAATTCGGACCCACTTTTTAGGCGAAATCAAAGCCAAATACACTATTTAGACTTCTTTGGCCACACATCTCATCAATTCAGTAATCATACTAATTATGCTATTTAATCTTGATTAAATTTGCTAAATGTTACATGTTCCACTGACTTTATGTGCTTATGACCTGTACCTCGTCTCCATCATTGTACTCTGTGTGTACTTTGTGGCTTATGCATCGTCTCCATCAAGGCACCTTTTCATTTTCCTATTGTGATCGAAACGTCAAGGAGAAAAAGTTGTTTTCAAAGTGAAAAAAAATCTAGATCTAAAACGTGTTGGCGTCCAAGTTTGCTTTATCTTCTTTCTTCTTCATCTACAGGAGTGTTAATTGTAGGATTTTTTTGGCATCAAACTCATTTGACCCGCTAACAAATCATTTTGAGTTCGAGTCTAATTTCGGTTTACTAAAACCTACACGATTTAAAGCGGTTCAATTTAGTCCAACTACCTAAATAGTCCAATGAACTGAAACAAGCTGCTCTAACATTCAGGTGACGGTCCTATCGATCTAACTATTCAGGTCTGACAACACTGTATAGAATAGAATTTCGCTTCCCCCTTTTTTTAACACTTCAAACCCTCATATAAATTAGTTATTACTAATCAAAGTTCTTTAAAAAATAAAAAAATTGTTGGCAAAAAAATGAAAAATTAGATCTTAACTATATCAGGTCTCAATCTAATTTAAATAATATTTAAATAAATATATTTTTTAAATAAAATTTAAGATTCTATTTATTTAATTTTACTCAACCTTATAAATTTCTTTTTTTATTGACAGGAAAGTAAAACAAAAGAAAATTAAACACCTTATAAATTTCTCCTTCCTCAAAAATATACCTTGAAATTAAAATCTCAAAATTTATTTTATTTTGAGTAAATTCTCCTTACTCAAGATTATATAGTAAATTCATATTAATATGGAATAACTTTTTTCCCTAATATTAAGGATAAATGGGCAAAAATACTCACAAAGTCGCTGGCTAAGAGCATCCAATAGCATAAAGTGATAAAAATGCAAAAATATCTATAACGTTGCCTAAGTTAGTGTAAGAGTGACTTATCTGTTAAGTCATTCAAATGTTAACCGTTTAGCTGACACCTAAGTGGACATTGACCTATTTTTGCTAATGTGAACTGCAAAAATATCCACGAAATCACCAACTAGGAGTATCAAATAGCTTAAAGTAAAAAAAAATAACAAGAATACCTATAACATTATTTTAGTAGATGCAATAGTGGTTAATTTATCAAAATTCATGCCATTTGATTTCTTTCCATCCGACGATATTCTTAAATTTATAACTGATATTAGTAAATTAATAAGTAAAGCTAGCAATTTAACAAGTGACGTTGTTGCTTATAATTGAAAAACTGATGTCAAGCTTATATAATTATTAACTTATCAACTCATGTAATTTACAATTCATATTCATAAATTAATAAGCGGAGTAAGAAAATTAACAATTAGTGATTCCTCATAACAAGTAAAGAGTATTTTGATCTTTTTAATGTCAAAATTCTTTTAATTTTTTTCACCTAAATTGAATTGAAATTTTAAATTTTTTTGGAATCCATCTAAAATTAATTATTTGCAGTGGTTATTAACTGAAATTCTCTTTATTAATTAAGTCATAAAATTTAAGATGTTATGATAATTTTCTAAATCCAAATTGTTTTAAACTATCTTAAACATGACCTTATCATATCCCTAAGCTCGAAAATAATTTCAAGGGCTGGAAAGGAAGGATGTTACAACATTACCCTAAGTTTTTTATTGATATTTCATAAATGCCCTTATGTTAAAAAACAAAAACTTTCCTTCTAACATGTGTATAAATATAAGTTGGCAAAAAAAAAAAAAAGTGTAGTGCCATTGGCGATGTTGATATTAAAAAAATTGTTAAAATTGAAGGCAGAAGATGCAACAAACATAGATTTCATGTGTATTCTTTTTTTTTCCCTGCCTACTTACTCACAGAATTCTAATACTAAGTTATTCAAAGGTGAAACAATAAAGAAAGAATTAAACTTATCTATTCTAAAACTTCCTCCCATATCGGACACAAAAAAAATATATAAAAATATGAACATTTTATGGGCACGTTTGGTTTTCTCTCATTTAACATTTAGGACAGACTTTTAAACTTTTAAAATATTAAAAGTTATTTGAGCAATTTTTTAAGGAGTAAAATAACTTTTAAAAAATGAGTTTGAAAAGTGAATTTTGAAAGTATACTTTTTGGTGGATTTCAAATGTGAGCTTGAAATATGGATGTTGTTTTACTCTCTCATTCTTTTATTTAAAAAAATTAATTCATTAAAAATATAATTATTATTTAAATAAAAATAATTAGATATCAAATTTTTAACATTATAAATTGAATAGTTAATCATGTTAATTTTTAACATTAATGTATAATAAAAATTATAAATTTTTATCACATTTTTTAAAATTACAAATTTAAAAAGTACAAATAATTAGAGATCAAGTTTTTAGTATTGTAGATCAAATTTTATGTTATTTAAAATCTTTATCATATTTTTTAAATATTTTAAATATATTATACTTGTATAATAAAAATTATAAATCATCATAAATCAATGACCTTTTTAATAATTGTACATTTAAAAATATATTTTATTATCATAATCTTATCAATTTTTAGTTTACTAAACTGACTTTTGAAAAAATATATTTAAATATAAATTTTATTACGATCAAAATTTTTTATTAAACTGATTTTTTTTAAATGAACTTTTAATAAATTAAAAACCAAACATACATTACATCCTATTCTCCCTCTCCTTGAAAGCATGAAAGAAAAATAATTAATATAAAATTTATTAATGATGCACAACATTTAAAAATTATAATTTAATTTAATTAAGGTGGAATAATATTTTACATGAGGAACAATTAAAAAAAACTAATATATAGTAATGTAATAGTAAATTAATTATTATCTTTCCCTCCCTCTCCTCTCAAGTCAAACAAGATATCATTAAAAATTTCCTTTTTTCTAACAAAATCAAGTAAGATATCATTAAAACCTTTTTCTTCATTCCTTCCCCTTCTCCCTCCTTTAAACCAAACATAATCTAAAGGTAAAATTTTGTTTACAAAAAAGTAAGTAAAACATTAATTCACCTTTATTTGTTTTTTTTTTAATTTTTCAGGGAATGTAGTCGGTGCAAGAGAAATTTTATTTATAAATTATTTTTAACATGTTATATCAAAATAAAAAATCTAAATTTTGCTAAAAAACTAAAAAACATTAATTAATCTTTATTTGTTTCTTTTAATTTTTCGTTATCTAAGGATGTAGTTGGTGAAAGAAAAATTTTATTTATAAATTACTTTTAATGTCTCCCATGAAAAAGGAATCTTAATTTTCGCTAACCCGTCAAAAAATAACAAATTCAACGAGTTTGCAATTTAGTTTGGCCAAAAAAAAAAAAAACAAGCTTGCAGTTTAGATATTAAAGATATTAACCAGGCGACAGTTTTTAATCATCATTCCACTAACGTTCATTTCACGTCCTGCCCCGGGTCACCCTGCTCCAAAACGCCAGTGGCTAAGCCTATAAAACTCGTATAAACTCAAGTCGATGTCTCAGAGCTGAAGCCTCCATAGGCTATGGGCGTCACACTGTGAAAGATTTGACCTACACCAGAAGCGAAAATGTCGGCTTCCAAGTTCGCACTGCACGGAATCGGAACCGCACTATTCCGTGCCCCACGAACATTCTCTGCAAATCCTCCCCCTCTTCTCGTTTATAAGCCCCCTCCTCTCAGGACGCTGCGGTTCCAACGGTACAGTTACTCTGCTGAGGCTGATACAATCACTGCTGACAACAGCAACAAGAACGAAACCCTGTCCTCCGTTGATCAATCCGTTCAACATCCGTGGCCCGAATGGGTGTCCTTTGTTGACCGCTTGAAGATAAAAGGTTATCTGACTGAATCGTCTGCTGCTTCTTCTTCTTCGTCTTCAGCTGAGGTTGGGGATGAATTTGACGCTTCCACTAATGGTGTTGGCGTCACGAACTCAAGTGACAGTGTTTACAGGAACATGAATCTTGTCAAGAATGCCTGTCTAAGCTTCGCGCGTGACCGCTATGATGTCTTCAAGTGGGTTTGTTTGACTACTCTTGTAATTGTTATACGTTTGAATTCTCTGTTTGGATACTTTCAAATGTGCAAAGGCAATACAATTTATTGAGTCTTTCCTTAAAGCGATTCGGATGGCTAAACTCCGAAAAGAGGATAGCTTGATTCTGATGAACTGATAAGACTGCTTTTTTCATTCATACTTGGAAGCTTGAAAGCCTAGTTGATAATAGTAATTGCCAGCTTGGTTAAATAGAAATGATGTGAAAAAATGATGTTCACTTTGTCTGCTCAAGCCGATCATGTTAGAAGCCAGGATAGTTTTCATATAGCAATTTACACTAGGTGTAGTGTCTTTTATGCCTGTCAAATCTCACAAGCAGCTCAAGCATTAATATATGCTCATTGAGTCTTTGACTTATGTTGCATCTTATGCAGATCACTTTCAGAGGAAAATATTCAAACAGTGGCAAAAGCTGGATGTCCTAATGTGTTGCGGAAGGTTGTTAATTCATCTAAAAGGTTAAGAGCTCACGTGGGATTAGATGAAGGGGATGTATGTTAGTTCCTTCTCTTAATTAAATATTTATGTTTAAAAGCTATCGTGCAGAATAGTTCTAGATACTGATCCTCTCATAAATTTATAAGGATTCATTTTTTCTCTCAAAGTTTGAGAAGGCATTCGATTGCTGTGTATCTCAGGAAAGCTTGCTTCTGTCCAGGTTTGTAGTACCTGCAACCTACGAGGCTCCTGTGATAGAGCTTATGTGATTCTAAAAGAGCATGAAGCTGGCCGAACTGTGGATATAGTGCGTATACTTTTGATTCATGCATTGGATCCTCTAGTTATTTCTGGAGGAGAGAAACCTCCAGGCAGAGAGGATATTGAATTGTCTGCAAGAAAACTTTTGTCTGAGTTGATTGAATTGAGTGAATCATCCATGGCTCCTGAACCTCCAAAGCTCCCTAAAAACATGCTGTGTTTAAAGCAAGCAAAACTGATATAGTATCTAAAGATGTTGATATGAAGTCGGGTGACTGGACATGTCCAAAGTAAGTCATATTCTGGATCATACAACTGTCTTCCCAGTCAGTATTAATTTTTATATGCTAAAACTCTTTCTTTGAATGCATACTAGCTTACATTTTTGGTATCTTGTTCTTATTTCTTTATATGCTGAAGAAGTGGACTATGCAAGAGAAGATTTTGAAGCAATGGAAGTCTTTGAATAAATGCCTCAAACATAGAATTATAGATGTTTGTGAAATATGGTGTGTTTGAAAACTTTGTGGTAAGCATAATCCAATTCCAATTTCCACAAAATAAGTAATTTTTATGCATGTAGAAAACATCACCCTTAAGCGTATGAGTGGGGAACACATAATGGAGGTTTTATCTGCTTCTTGGGATTGTGTCCAAAATCACTTTAAGCTGATGGAGTTTATAGAGTAGAAGAGATAGTCACGCATTTTTTTGTGGCTTTGTCTTTGTTTGTGCTCTCCCTTTCTATGTGGAGCTGATGGTTCATATTGGCTTTGTTACTGCCTGTTCCCTTGTCACCTCCAAACTCATTTTTTATTATCATTTTTGTTCCAAAAATCCTGTAATATCCTAACCTAATTCGAATTGTTGTAATAAAAAAAATATGGACTATTAAAACAATGTTAAAACTTAAAACAAAGTAAATGACATTGGGAATTATTAAATGCCAATTTCTCTTTCCACTTTTATCTTCTCTTCTCTATCATGTTTTCACTTTATGCCATGCACATGTATGCCTTTTTTTGTGTGTAAATTTCTTAAAAAAGGTCATGAACTTCATCGCTCAACATATTATGGGTATTTTCAGATATGATTATATTGAAAATTTTTCATAATGCCCTTGGGAGATAGATTTGGATTGTAGTTGCCCTTTCCACTATTATCCCAATTTGAAAGGATAGGAGCTTTTGACAATCCCCGGCAAAAGGCATTGCGCTGCTAAAGTTAGGCTTGTGATTTACTAATTTCACATTACTTTGTGACAATAGCAACCAGATATCATAAAATAAACATCTATAGCCCTTAAAGTCTACAGCTAGAATTATTTCCTTGTTGCTATTTTGTTATTTTATTCTGCTATTATGTAGTTTCATTATTCTTTTTATCATAATTACCAGTCACCTTCAATAAAAAAGACTAGAAGAATTAAATTTTACCAGTTATGTGTTCAACTGTGTTTATATCTGTGTATATGTAGAGAATATGGACATAGTATATCATCTTTTACAAGATTAGTTACTCATGATCTTTAGCTCCTAGTTTCAATTATTCATCCTCATCGCATTTCTAGACTAAATTTTCCCTTATTACTTTATACAATAGTGAATGTGGGGCTTTAAAGGGATAGCAAGAGCATAAGGTTGGGGTAATAGAGATGAGAATGTTGAGATGAATATGCAGGCATATAGGTAAAGAAAAAAATCCAAAAGAAGCATATACGAGTTAAGGTGGGTGTAGCATCTATTAAGGAGAAAATGGCAGAAATCGTTTGAGGTGGCTTTGACATGTACAAAGAAGACCGTGGGAGGCACTAGTAAAGAGAGTGGAATAATTGTATTGAGCCCTATAAAGAGGGTTGCCGATCTCACCTAATGAGATAAAGCTTGTTGTTGTTGGTCTACCTTATAATAATTGGATGTGTGATATGAGCAAAAGAGAAAAAGTCATTTGGTTTGAGAAGCTTTATCTGTTTGTTGATATGATGGAGTTGATTGAAGGATTATATTAGAAGTTTTTGAAACATGGCACAGTATATCTAAAAGCTTTAGAAAGATCTCTTTCATCTGTTTGAATTCTTATTCTTTTTATCCAACTATTGCTGTGGAAAGGTTTCCTCTGTTCATAGGCATGCTTTTATTGCATTTTGCAAATTTTGGAAGGATAATTGTTTTGCTATGTGGTATTGTGGGTGGAACTAAGTTCTTGCAGTTGTTGCTGCATGGGAATATTTTTTATCTTACTCCTTAAAATTAATTTTGTTTCCTCCTTATCATAAATATTAAATAGTTTCATTTTCCATGATCATTCATGTTGGTGGAGACTGGAGATGTACCAAACCCTTTAAAGTTATCATGACTTCAGGACGGTTGTCCTTTTTAACTTTTTTTTTTTTTGCAGGTGCAATTTTATGAACTTCTCTAGAAATGCGAAATGCCTAAAATGTCGAGAGGATAAGCCTGCTGGTTTGCCTGAGCAGGGAATGAAAAAAGGAGACTGGATCTGCTCTAAGTAAGTCCTCTAGTTCTTGTTTAGATTTTTTGCTAAAACAGTCTGGCTTGAAGGACAAAAACAATCATACGCAATTCTATAACCCAGTAAATTCTTCTCAAATCTCTCACTCTCGGCAAGTTACAACCTAACTTCCAGCTTCCCTCCACTTAGCAAACTGACGGGCTCTGACTAAATCCCAACAAGACAAAAGTAAACACAGCAGAATGGCAAAGCAACAAAGCACATAAATAACGTAATGGCAACTAATTTTTCTATCTAGCCTTAGCTGTAAGTCACAGTCATTCTTCTATGTATTTGTCAACTTGCTTTGGAACATGTGCTATTGTAAATAAACAACAATTTTTTGTTGTAAAATTACAAAAGATGGTGCGATGAAATTCTCTCCTCACTGCTTTTGAGTCTCAAACTTCCTCTGTTGTCATTATGTATTCCAAATTGATTTAGCATCCAGAAACCTAATAGAACATTGTCACTGCCCAATTGCAATTCAAGAACTTCGGCAAACAGTACATTGTTTAACATCTTTGGTAGACTTGTAGCTTCTAAAATTCTCTGACCTCCATCCCCTGAACGACTTTCAACATTCTCCCAACTGCTCTTCTTGGCATTGTTCAACAAATTGATTGAGCTTCTAATTTTTTTTGGATCTCGCAACATTCTAAATTTTTTGACCTTCTCCTAGCTAGTCTTCACTACATGGTTTGCACATTAAGGCGCCAACAAAACATTGTGTAGGGCTAAAATCTTCAATTTTTTTCCTCAACCAAGTTTCCATATCACAGCACATAAAAACCTCACATAATCTTGCTCATTAGGGCATAGGACAAAACATGATCATCAAGGTAGCCAGCAACCCAATTTGAAATTGACTGGGTAGAATCTCCGTTGTATTAATGATCCACTATAAGGCATTGTGTTTTGCAGTGTAGGAGACTGTGTATCATGAAAAAGTAGGAAATAGGTAGTTTTGACTAGATCTATTGTCAAAGTTGAATATCATGTCATGGCCTTTGCAACATTTGAATAGTTGTGACTTGTGGATGAGATGGTTCCTTCAAGGAATGCATTTCGGAGATTTAGATAAGGCAAAATTGATTTGTTGGGTTGTGACTATCAAACGGTGCTACACATTGGCTTTAATCTGGATTTTCATGAGAGGACTTAAAACATTAGTTGATTGTTACTTCACCAGAGTAAGATACTTTCAGGGACTCCTATTGTTAGCTGTGCTACCTCCAATTATCATTTGGTTGATATTTTCTTCTATTCCCCAAGAATACCAGAACCAGTGCCAATTAGGGGCTTTATAGAGGTTAATGAGTACATTTCTTGAAGGAGGGTTATAGTTGGTAATGTTTTGAGTCTTAGGTTTGTGATTCAATATTTTTGTAGGGTCAAGTTTTGCAAAGCGATGTTGATGAAAGTGTTTTCGTAGGCTGTTCTTTTAAATAAGGAAATGACCCTATATATGTAGAGGGTCACATTACTGTAGTAATTGTGGCAGTAGTAGTTTTTACAAAAGTGAGTGGGTGGATACATGAGGGATTGATGACACAATTTTTGTATCAAACGGTACTGCATATTGGCTTTAATGTAGATTTTTATGAGAGGACTAAAAACATTAGTTGATTGTTACTTCATTAGAGAAAAGATACTTTCAGGGACTCCTTTTGTTAGCTATGCTACCTCTAATTATCAATTGGTTGATATTTTCTTCTATTCCCCAAGAAGACTAGAACCAGTGCCAATTAGGGGCTTTATAGAGCTTAATGACTACATTTCTCAAAGGAGTGTTATAGTTGGTAATGTTATGGGTCTTAGGTTTGTGATTCAACATTTTTGTAGGGTCAAATTTTGCAAAATGATGTTGATGAAAGTGTTTTCATAGGCTGTTCTTTTACATAAGGAAATGACCCTATATACATAGAGGGTCAAGTTAACCATGATAGGGTGCACATGTTTTTTGTATCTGGTTTGATCTTTGGTTGCATCGTCTCGTGTGAAGGAATACAAATTTATGATAAAAGTTTTATATTTCATGGAACTTGTTCTCCATTGATAATGTGATTCAATACCAATTGTTGAGCTTCTTTAATGAATAACAAATTGTGTGAATATATATCTCTCGAATTTTTTGATAGAAAATCTCTAGAATTTTTTTAATTGTATTTGATGTGTTAACATGCTTTTGTTAGTTTTGTTTAGGGACTATGCTGTTCAATATTTAATTAATGCTTAGAATTTATAATTATATTATAGTCACTCAATAACCTATGAACAACTATCCCTATTTGGTGTCTTCTAGTCTGTTGACTGTTGCTCTTTCATTTTACGGCAGATGCAATTTTTAAAATTTTTCGGGAAATATATGCTGCCTCAAATGCAACGCACAGAACTTGAATAGGGTCAGTACAAATATAGTTGAAAGGAAAAAGGGTGATTGGGATTTTGCCCAAAGTCAGTCTGCTCTTTTTACTGACAAGTTAAGTCTCATTGACAATATTATTATAGTTTACTGTCTATGATGATATCTTTCACATATTTAATTGAATTATTAATTATTAATGGGGGAAGGGAAGAAATTATGAAGGATAATAGTCATCAATTATGAATTAAGAATTAACAATAGATGTAGACTATATGATTTTAAATGAAAGTAAATGTGTTTTAATTAAGAATAAACAAAGATTAGGATTTAATATTTTGATTACTTTTTTTTTTTAAATAGCACTAGCCTTAAGTGTTATCTTATCTTCATCATCTAGGATGATACATTTGAGTTGTTTTATTTAAATATTTTGATTACTTTTGTTAGAATTAAGATCTTTTATTCAAATATTTAATTGAATTATTAATTATTAATGGGGGAAGGGAAGAGATTATGAAAGATAATAGTCATTAATTATGAATTAAGAATTAACAATAGATGTAGACTATATGATTTTAAATGAAAGTAAATGTGTTTTAATTAAGAATAAACAAAGATTAGGATTTAATATTTTGATTACTCTTTTTTTTTTAAATAGCACTAGCCTTAAATGTTATCTTATCTTCATCATCTAGTATGATACATTTCAGTTGTTTTATTTAAATATTTTGATTACTTTTGTTAGAATTAAGATCTTTTGTTTGGACTATTGTATTGTCTTTCATTTTTAAATGCTACCTCTTGGCCTCAGTGTAAAGTCCTTACTAATTAGCATCAGGCTAGTTCTCTGATTGAATTAATAATGTTTTATATGTCTATTTCCTCCTCTCTCCTCCCCCATCTTTTCTGCTTTTTAATTCTTGCTATTAATTCTACATCAATTTGGGATGGAGCAAGATCTCCTTGTTCCATCCACGGTTTTGTTGCTGGGAAATTATTGGAATCTATTGAAAATTTCAAAACCATTGCTGTACATTCAAGTTCTAGCTTTTCTGGTCACCAAACCTAACAAGTGACTTGGCCATCAGATGCACACGTTCCAGATTGGCCTGTCTTTGAAGTTCGATCACCAGTGCTGCCTGCTATCTATCATTCTCCAATTCTTTTTCCATGTGTTTTTGCCTAAGCTCAATAAGTTGAATCACTTGAATGTATTTTGGATGTATTTCTACTTTGTTTGGTTCTTTAATTGTTGTGACTAGCCTGAATAATCTTGATGAACAGTTTGTGATTGGTAGAATAGAATGCCAATGTGAAAATATTTTGAGTGCTATTGATAAACTGTGTAAACAAGTCACGGGCAAATGCAAGAGTTAAATGTAAAAGAAGAGTGTTTCCAACAAGATTCCGATGCATTGGATGAAACTTTCTTGATAGAGCTTAACATTATCATTATTGATCCACTTAATTGCCCTCCAAAATGTGGATTTGCAGTTGGATGTAAATTTTGATACTGGAGTTCCTGATCATTTTGGACAGCAATTTGAAGTTAAATCTCCATAATGCTGGGTTTAGATTCAACCAAATCAAATGCTAGGGACTGAAGGAGGTTTTTTTATTTTTTTTATAATTGTAGATATGTTAAAGAATCAAAAGTTATCTCAGTTGTCTCATCTTAAAATGGTAGTGTTCATTTTAATCAAGGCACTACTAGTCCTCTACTTAGGGACTAGTTTTTTCCACCTGGGTGAATGAGAATGAGAATGGAGTAAGATAATATTAATTATTTATAAACTGCCTGAGCATGTGAGACATCTGCTGTTTCGAGATGCTGTGGGAGCTACGACCCTACTATGATTTGGTGTTTTTCCCGCCTTCGTTTTGGGCTTAGCCCTGTATTGTCTAAAAAAAGAGAACTAAGAAATGAAAATAAATACAGGAAATGGGATTTTGTTTGCTTGTTTTTTGGGTGTTCCATGGTCAATGTTCTCTTTATTTGCTAAATACATGCCCTTGTAGTTGTGATGGCTTTATTAGTTCTAAAGATGATAAGCTTGTCTTGCCACCCAAATTTTTCCCATTTCTCTGTTGATGTTATCGTATGATACTTGTGATCCATTGCCCGTATGTGGTTTCTTCTGGTCTGCTGACAGTTGCTCTTTGGTTTCGTACTTTTATTGCAGATGCAGTTTTGTTAATTTTGCACGAAATATGTGCTGTCTTAAATGTGACACAGAGGGCCCAAAGAGGGTCAATGCAGATATTGAAAAGAAAAAGGGCGATTGGGATTGCCCAAAGTGAGTCTCCTATTACTGACAATTGTAATCTCATGGACAATATTTTAGAATTCATTTTCTTGGGTAGCATGACTTATTGGTGGAGATTGAAGACAAATTAGAAAAGATAATATTAATTATTTATTAATTAGAAGTATAGATATAAGAAAGAGGATTTTAATTAAAATTAGAATTAGAAGTATTTTCATTAGTAATAAATTATAACACTCTTGGAAGTTGTTGAACGCGATCTCTTAATTAATAATATTCCTAAAAGCTTGATAAATGATAAAGCACAATGACGTCTTGCAATCCATGTAGCCGACCCCACCTAGTGGGATAAAGGCTTGTTGTTGTTGTTGTTAGAATTAGAAGTATTTTAATTAGTAATAAATTTAGACAAGAATTTGAGAATCTGTTTGGTTTTAGTTTTTAAAAACATTTAAAAAAAATTTAAAAATTTGTTTGGATGAGTATTTTAAATTTAATTGTTTCAAAAACTGTTCTCATTTTTTGTTTTTAAAAACAAAAAATAGAAATATCTTAAAGCTGTTTTCATTTTATTTTTCTTGTTTTCAAAATACATTACATTTGATTATTAAAAACTACAGTTACCTTAACCAATAATTATTGTAGGCCATCACAATTAAATGTCGTTAATCATCACTATTGATTGTCTTTTAATTTTAAGACTGTTTTTGAATTAACACAATCAAGCAGATTTTCTTTTTGCTTTGTTTTGAAAAATAGTTTCAAAAACTATATTGCAAAATAGTTTTTAAAAACAAAATCAGAATAGAAACCAAACAAGTCCTAAGATTATAGTTAATTTTTTTTGTCTTGGTAGGCGCTTTAGATTTTATCCTAAATACCCACTTGATATAGACTTGGTTATGTTCTATTAAGACTAATTTCTGTTAGAATTATTTTATTGGCTTTTATTTAAATGTTGTCTATTGGGCTCCATATAAATCCTTGCTAATTTTGTTATTTTTTATTAAATTAATAAAGTCTCGTTTATCTCTGGCTTCTTACATCTCTCCTCTCCTTTATTCTTGACTATGGTCCTACATGATTTGTGTGCGATTTGATAACTGTGAACGTGTGTGTTTTATCCCACAGCTGCCTGTGGCGTTATTATTTGGAGTTATCACCTTTAGTTGTGATGACGAAACTCCTTCAAACTTCAGTTTTCCTAGTTCTCTTACAGCAAATCATTCATAAATTAATTATAGCAGGCAAAATCATGCTTAACCTCTGATTATTCATTCAATTACTATGATACTAAAGTATGCTCTATTGGTGCTGCAATCTCATTTATTCTGTCGATTTTGTTGTCGTCCTATGATGTAGGAGAGGTGAGGCTTTTACCCTTTGTAAGTAAGAATCCCTATTTAAGTGATGATAATGATAATCTTTTATCTTATTGGTGGTTTTTAATAAATTTCTCCCGGGGGAAGATGCAGTTTATTCCAAACTGCCTTGTTTGTGCGACTATAATCAATATGTAATACACAAAGATAAAATTAATACTAAATTTTTGATGAGCTTGATGTTTTATAGGAACATGTTGAGAGTTATTTTTTGCCAGTGTTCTATAATCCTTTGATTGATCATATAATTCAGTAAATCACTGAAAGTTTTGACTCATGCAAACGAGAGATCATTTTGTTGTGAATATAACTGATAATTCCCACCTGGCAAACACTTTTTAACTTCATCTAGTAAAAGCTGCAGCTAGAATATGAATGAATGTCCAAGTATACATCTATGATGATGACCTTGTGTTCTTCAACTTTTTACAATCACATCTGTTCTGTTGATGAATACCCTAATAATTAAACCATCTTCTCATTGATTTTCCTCTGTCTAGGTGCGGGTTCTTGAACTTCGCTGGCAATGTGAAGTGTTTGCGTTGTCCAGAGCGAAGGCCCATGCAACGTGCTGGGGATTGGAATTGTCCCAAGTGAGTCTATGACCTTCTTACCTTTGTTTTTTCTCTACAGCTCCACGCATCTTTCCGAGTATTGCAAAAATAGACGGTGATAAAATTTTGTTCTTTTCATATATTGCTTTGTGTAGATGTGATTTCTTCAACTTCGTAAAAAACAAGACTTGCCTGAAGTGCAATTCTGAACGCCCTCTTGAGCAACCAAGTGCTAGGGATGAGGATCATACATGGATACGGCCCACTTGAAAACTCATCGAGTTGACAATGTCCTTGTAGCATAGCGACATATTGTTTGTCTTTTGCTACCCACCAAATTGCGGATTCGAAGATTTTGGTTTGTATTTCGTAAATTTTAGACAATTTTCTATATTTGGCTCTTCATTATTGAAAAAAGACGTAGCACTAGTTGCAAGGCTAGCATTGAGCTATAATTTTTATGCTCCCTAATTTTGTAATTAGATTTTAGTTCAAAGTAACAAAGCATGAGATTGAGCATAATTATGAAGAAAGGCTAGCTTTTGAATACCTTGCCAGTTTCCTCGGAACAGGTTTACATTTTTTTATATTTGTTTTAGGTGTTTCAATTAAGTTATAATAAGGTTGTGATTTTTCAACAATACATGTGTGCTTTAATTCATAAATTATATATCATACTCTAAGATGAATAGACGACTACTATAAACTAAACGCTTGTGTTTTGATTCGAGAACTTTACACCAGATTGGTAAAGAATTTCACTTTTTTCCCAACTCATGTATAACCATTTATTTGTTGAAATTTTCTGGTTGATTGGAATTCTGAAAGTATTGTTCTGCCCGCACAAAAAAAGACAGGTTTAATGCATTAAATGCTATCCCGTTGCTTACATTAACCATATGCCTTTTTATTATAAGTAAATCTAAAGAATTCTATGTAGCAGCAACGTAAAATTCTACAGCTGAAATTTTAAGTAAAATTCTGAAACTATTGTTTTTAGAACAGAAAAGACACATGGAAGAATTACCTGTGAAGGAAACTTTAATGAAAAATAAATACCAATAAAAGTTAGACCTATACAAATGACCTAAGAATTGTTAGAATACAAAAAAAAAAAAAATAAATAAAGAGAGACAATATATTTATATGATTACAAAAGAAACGGTAATAAATATAAAAAAAAGTAAAATTGGATGCATATATGAATGATATAAGTTGCAATTAAACCTAATTTTAGATTACATTTAGATGAACATATATTCACATATCTAAGAGACATAAGAAGGAAAAAGATTTTCAAAAATCTTTGGTAAGAATAATACAGTCAAATTTATTCAAAAGACTAATTTATTTTAATTGTTTTCTGAATTATATTACAAGATTAAATGACAAAGATTGTAGAGGAGCCTTAGTTATGGAAATAGGTAGCCAAGATTTTTGAAAATAAGGAGTTACATATATGGTCATTCAATAGAATTATGTTTTAAATACAAAAAACATATCAAAATTTTAAAGCTATAAAAGAAACTCCCAAAGGAGAATCATATGAATATATTGTCTTTACACAAATATAACTTTACATACCATAGGATAACAATTAGATCGAATAGAAAATAAATTAGAAAATGAAGAAGTAAATAAAGCCTCTTTAACCAAAAAAAAAAAAGATCCAATGAAGTCGATATTTAAATATGTAGTCATATATGTAGGACAGGCAAAAACGATTCACTTAGGAAAATGTGATATAAGAGACAAAAATAAAACAAAAAACTTATCATCAGAAATAAAGAAAAAATTAAAAATGTTAAATATAAAATAAAAAGAATTATTTTAGAAAAAACCCAAATATAAAAAATTATTATTCAAGACTTACAATGTTAAATTTATAGTTTGAAGAAAGACAAAACATGTCCTCCTCTCATTATGACGGATTGTCAATTTATGAGTGAAATATAATGGATATAGTAAATATGAAATAATAAATTTAGTTTAAAAATAACTATGACAGTAGCAACTTGTAAAATAAAAAAATAAAAACGATCATATTATTTTTGATATGATCACCAAGGATTCTCAAGAAGTCTTAAAAGATGGTGGAAAAATGTTTTTATTGAAGAAGAAAGAAATCGATTAAAAAACTGACATTAAATATAGATCTTATTAGATAGAACTGAGATATTTAAAAACATAACCCAATTAATATCTATCATGACAAAGTCCTTTGTAGGAGAACCTACAAGAATGCAAGAAAGATATTTAAAACAACTAATGAATTTGTGATGTCCTACATTAGCAGTTTAGGTGATATAAAAATAATTTTATCCCAAAGTTATTTCAAAGACAAGATGCCAATCAAAATCCCCACTAATATTGCTCAAGCCGAGCCGAAAAAATATCAACTCCAGGCACAATTCACTATTATAGACTACAATCGTGGCTTGCTTGTTAGCCATGGCATCCTTTCTTGGCTTCTACCCCCGAGCACTCCATAAAAATAGGTACTTTTGTGTCTTCACCTTTTGCCCACTAGTTAATGTGGGCTTTTCTTGATCCTCTTTTATGCTCATTGGTTAAAAGCATTTGGGCTTAGGTTTTGTCGGCCAGTCAACAAGGTTTCTCTTTTTGTACTCTAGTTAGAAGCTTCAATCTTCAAAGCACTACAGTAGCTCTTGGCAATCAGCTTTCCCTACACGCATTCCTCTCCTCTTTGTCATTTGGTACTACAGTAGCGCCTACGCGAAGAAGTATATGAAGTGGATAGGTTTTGCCTTATACCTGTTGTCTATTGTTAATGTCTTGCAGTTCGAAGGTGTCTCTTTGCATATTCGTCTTCAACCAAAAGGGGAAGAAAATCTTCCGTGATAATTGCGAGCTCAGGGTGATCTTTTGGGTTTGCTTCCCTTCAATGCCAATAGTTGTGCACATGTCTCCTCATCTGGAAGCTTATCTGTTGGTGATTGTTGGATTCAATCTTTGAGATAAGCCTAACGCTCATGTAAGCACTATATTCATGCTAGGGTATTGCCGAGCATGGAACCCATGAGTGTTAGGGTTTTACATAGTGATTTGGAGTAAATGCTACACCTTCTCTTCAAGTTCATCCTCTCTACCTCACCATCGAAGTACTGACTCGGATTTATTCTTCTTCAGTTGCACCTACATGTGATACACAGAATATGCTACCCAGGGGTTCAAATTGAATGCTTCTTCAGTGAACTAAATGAGACAGGTGTGAGAATGAACCATCTTGTCTATAAATACTGACCTTTTAGTCGTTTGTTCTGCAACTGACTACCACTTATCTCCTCCCTTCTGTTTGTTTTGTCTTCTTGTCATCACTTTCGAGAGGATGAATGGTGTCAAAAGTGTGTTTGTCTCAGATTAATTCAAACAAAAATTCCTCGTGCATCACTATTCGTGTTTTGCGCGTGATCTGGAGGGCATGCGGTGACAATGACGATGCTGACTTCGAGTACCCAAAAAACCTTATATCTATGGACTACGTTTGATGGATAATCAAGTATGGTGTTTTAACTACACATTTATTGTGTTGCAACGATGAAGTAATAATGTGTTTCCTTTGTTGTTGATGTGGGTCAGTGCAAGGAACAAAAATGCTGACAACAGCTATTGGGGAGACATTGATTGATCGCTTCTTTGGGTTGTTCGATCAAGGTGCTTCCTATTATATTGCCTTCGTTGATGTGCGCGAATGGCCAAACGAGTTCCACGACATGTACGAGATTCATCTCTGCTACTACACTCAGGTTGATCGAGCCCATGTCCTACTTCCTTTTTATGAGTTTCGCCTGAGATCAGTTATGGAAATCGAGAATTACATTGGTCTGGGCTCTCTGTGTGTTGGTGAGTTGTGGTTTCAGTGCATCCCATTATTATGTAATTTTAAGTGGTTTTTGTTGTCACCCACATGTGAAATTGTTTATGCCTAGATGTATTTGGTGTCATGAAGGACATTTGACATATGGTTCCAATAAAGATAGGGGGCATGTACAGTGTCTAGTGGTGTTTTTATTCTCGAGGATTTTGAGTAACGACCTTGTCTTCTTCACTTCATCACTTCATCTTTTATATTTGTAGTTGTTTTCAGTTCTTTGGAAAACTTTTAGAACTTAATAATGAAGAGCTCTGTTGTCTATCGTGAGATTTTTCAAAACTTGAAATAGATGTCTTGTCGAAACATTAACATTGTATGCTAATTTAGTGATACTATAAAATCTTTCTACTTATCTTGATGATTTTCTACTATGCCGGTTTAGTGTACTTCCTTGTGTGCATAATTGACACATTTCCGTTTTTAAAAACATAACTATCGAAAGCACTTGAGGTTGCTTTTTTTTTATTTTATTTAGCTTCTGTAACGAAACAAAGAAAGATAAAAATGAAAACAAGAAGCTAATGTTATTGTAGGGCTTTTAACAATATACATTTACATAACCCTGAAATTTTACTCAAAGATTATACATTAGGTTACCAATATTCCGTGTGGACCTCATATAACCTAAAGATGATATTCGATGTTCAGACATTTAGTTAGATTATCACATGTAGCGCACTGGAGTAAGAATCTAGTTCAGATATATATATATATAAAAATGAAATTCACAGTAGAATTACGTAAATCATTAGTAGAAAGAGTAAAAAAATGAAATAAGACAACAACAAGAAAGAACAATAAATTATACTGTTTTAACATATGGATGGATAATTAATATTATAAATATTACAAGATTAGAGTTATTTAATGAAATAAAAATGCAAAAAAAAATACATTGCAATACCAAACAAGGAAAACTAAAGTTAGGAAACTTCTGTGAGCAATATGAATTTGAAAAGGTACAAGCTCCTTTTAGGCAAAATAAGAAAAGAAATTATATACAATATCCCTATAAAAGATATACAAAAATATAAGAAATATTTCTCAAAGAAATATAGAAAAGCATTTTGAAAAGACAAAACAAAAAATCCTAAAAAAGACAAGAGAGAAATGATTTATTATAAATGTAGAAGATTTGGTCATTATACTAATAAATGTAGAACATAAAAAAATAGAGAATTACATATAAGTGAAAAAAAGAAGAAAAATTTATTAAGAATATGATAGATAGTGATTCTGATTCTAATTCTAATTCTAATGAAGAAGTAGACAAAGTTTTAAACATATGAGAAGAAATTAATAGCAAAATTCAGAAACAAAAGAAGAAGGAGGAGGAGAATGTTTGGGAAAATGAATATGTAATTATTAAAACAGTGTAATAATAAACTTAAAGAAAACCTAAAATTTCTAGCAGAAATTATAGAAAAATAACTACAAGATGAAAACATTAAAAAATAACATTTAGTTAAAATAAAAGATATATTGGATAAAGAAGAAAAACAACAAAATAATAGTAATCCTATAATATGAAAGATATATTAAAAATATTTAAAAAAGAAAATATTACCCTAGTCAGAATAAAAGAAATACAGCAAGAAATAAAAGAGTTAAAACAATTAAAACTAGAAATAGAAGAATTAAAAGAAAACCAAACTCAAAGAGAATTAGAGTTATTAAAAATAAAAGCTTTATTAGAAACCAATAGAATAAAAACAGAAAAAAATATAGAAAAAGAAACAGAAAGTGAAATAAATAAACTTCTTTTTGAAATAGATCAACAAAGATACATGAACACAATATCACAAATAATTTATAAATAATGGTATTGTTAAGTAAGTTTTGTAATAAATAGAGAATATTCAAAAATATAACTGCTTAATAGATTCAAAAGCAAATATGAATTATCTATAAGAAGGATTAAAACTATACAATTGACTGTTGTTATTTCTATTTTCCCAAAAATTTGATTGTCTTTAATAGATTCAAAAGCAGATATGAATCATATAAAGAAACTTCAAAGCTATAAAAGAAACTCCCAAATTGATTGTTGCTATTTCTATTTCTTCAAAAAATTTGACTATCTTTAATTTCTTTTATTTTTTTTTCAAGTTTACTATTCCTATCTATTTAACTATAAGCTAAGACTCTTAAAACTCATCATATCTTCCTTTTTGGATTTAGATTTTAGTATCTTATTGAATCATCTCTTTTTTTCTTTCTACATTTTTATCTTTTAGTATTCTTTTTTTTTTCCTAATCTTAATAGGAATATCTCTGCTTAATCCAACAATCTTAGATACTGTCAGATCTAGACTCACAAGCTTACAAATATTTCCACTAGGAAAAATTTAAAGAATATAAAATAAAATAGTTTAAACAAAATAATTAGCAAGTGCAAAAATTAACATGATTCTAATACCATTTGGGGAATCTAGGACTAGTTGAGCAAATTAAAATAGTAACACATTACATATAAGTTGAAAATGACTTTATTTATATAAAACAAGATAAAGGTACATAATGCTTACAAAGAAGATTGGGAGAAAGTGAAGGTTCAAAAGGAAAGAGAAACACTACAAGAGGCTTAGAGAGAGAGAGAGAGGAGTTAGAAAACACGATACCTCTAAAGCAAGGGATTTTTTGCTTATATAAAATTTAGAGTGACCCATGACTGAATAACTCTGTTTATTTTGACTACTTTGATTGAGTAACTCAACATTCATTTTTTTCGATGCAAGACTCATGTCTTGCTTTTCTTTCTTTTCTCCTTTGTCCTTTTCTTTTCTTCCCATGACTTGCTTTCTTTTCTTTGCTTTTTTTCTTTTGTCTCTTTTTTTTCCTTGCCTTTTTTGATCAATTACCTGTTTTGTCTTTCATTTTGCTATTTTTGCTTGTCGGTTACTAATTGATAATCTTTAAAATCGACACCAAATATATCTTCATCATTATATCCTATGTGAAGGATCCTTCATCTAAGACTGCTTGAGATGTGGGAAGCTACCTCTCACATTAGAGGTTCGTTCTTCTTCAGTCTCGACAGTTGCCAATTGTGTCATCGGCTTGTTCTTTTCTATTAGAAAAGCTATTGAAGCAAAAGCTTGACCTCTAATTTGTAAAGGACTTACTTTAATGGTGGTTTTAATCCATTCAAGAACTACTTTTGAACTTACAAATTTTTTATTGTACTCATCCCACTATTTTTTCTCTAAATCTTCTAATTTAATAATTTATTGAAGGATAAGGTAGTTTTTCTATTATCACTGAGAGGCACTAGCTCATTACCCGTGATACTCTCATAAACATGGCTTTTCATTTACTTTAAAATCAATATTTTTTTAAAACATTCGTACATTTTTGCCACCTTCGCAAGAAATATTTTCTTTTTTGGTCCAAAAATATGGAACCATTTAGGAAATCTAAAGAATTCCATGTAGCAGCATCGTAAAATTAAAAGGCAAATGGATTATGTAAGCAACGAGATAGCATGCTGTATCAGGACCGCAGAAGAGAACTTTGGACCACGCACTCCATTTTTTTCCTTTTCTGGTTGAAATCAAGACCAATGTTGTGTCCTTCGCAATATGCATCAACATCACTGGTATATTAATTTTCTATGTAACTGCATCTCTATGATCTATGGTACACTTAAGCCTAGACAGTGTTTCCCGGAAAGAGGAATGAAGTCAAAAACTGAGACCCTGTACATCCATCCATATATGGAAATGGCACCAGCAAAAATGGCCCCGTATCTTTGAAAGGCTCGTGGTATTATGGCCACCGATTAATTGGGAACCGGCACGCCGTGCTCATTAGGGTGAGCCGGCTGAGCCATCCCTCCAGCTGCAACAGCAGCATGCCTCCTTTGCCTCTCACGGAGGTACAACACTGTTAGCAGACAAGCAAAGAGAGTGAGAATCGTTGCGTTTCCCTCCTCTAAAAGCACATTCTCCACCCATGCTTCCAATTTCGGGAACACTTCGGGCAGTGAATCAATCATATCCACCTGATTAAACACGCAAAAACAAAAAACCACAATAAGGATCTAGGCTGTGCGTATCAGATTTCCAAATTAGTGTTGGTATCGGCATTTTCAGTTGGACAAAAACACCCATTTTTAATAGAAAACAAAAAAGATACTGTCCGGGAAAAGGATGAACTGAGATATGCATACGAGGAACACAACTAAAAGTCATAGAGAATGTAAGCCACCGGGGTTATCCAGTTATTAAGTTCCTTTAGCAGCTAAGAAAGAACAGATTATTATGATTTGGTAAAGACAACAATCTGGTAGTTGAGAGGAGGAGAAGAACAAAGGAAGCTCTCTGAATATATATCAAATTCCCCCAATGGCTTGTAAACATGAAAAGAGAAAGGGGGGGGGGGGGGGCGCTCACCAAAAAACTGTCAGCATAGTTCTTACGAACCCACAAACTTGCAAGGGCGAGAGTGACAGGCAACTTTGCTGCAGGATCATGCTCTAGAGCTTCATCGTAGTACCGCTTGGCCAGATGAAGATCAAATGGAAGTCCTAGGCCATGCTCATGCATGTATCCCAGATTGAACATGGCTTGTGCATTAGATTGGGATTTGGCATGCATGTAGGCCTCAGCAGCCCGTTCAAAATCTCGGGCGGTACCCTGAGAGAAGGTAAAGAGATGCAACAGAAATATTAGAGAGACGGCATAGAGTGAGCAGCATAAATTAACTGGTCAAAGCATGGACTCCTACTTCATCCCAAAATCACATACCCGACCATAGTAGTAAGCATCTCCAATTAGTAAAGCAGCATGTTCATTACCCTGCTCAGAGGCCTGCCACCACAGAGAATGTGCACGTTGGTGCCTTTCTGCATCTGTACAAAATCCAGATTCACCCATGCACATGCTACTTTCCCCATATTTGTCAAGAATCCAAGCAGCATTACTTTGTGCCACCTCATAGCCCATCTCAGCCATTCTTGAATACAGCATAAATGCCTTACCAACATCACCTCTCAAGTATGATTCTAGTGCCCACCTAGACAAAGAACTCCAGGGACCCCGTTCTGCAACTAGTTTGTACAGTGCAGTGGCCTAACACCAGAAAAGCTCAAACTATTAGCCCTAGCAGGTGTATTTATTGGCCGAGGCTGTATATGATAGTCATTAAGGAATAAAAACATAAGCAATTTAACACACTTAAATTGGTTCTGCATTCACATTTACAGATCCAAATCCCTTACGAGTGAGACAAAACCTCCCAGTTACTAATCAGTTCTGTAA